AGCAGATTTTAAATGCTAAGGGAGCGTAGTTATTAAAATGGGGGAGAAACCAAGGGGGGTTTGGGGAGTTGTGGTGAATTTAAGTACATAATCATAAAAACAAACGGACAATGCTGCCGCAACAAACAGAAATAGAAAACTAACCAAACAAGAACAAGAGCTAATACTGAAATAACTACAAACGATGTGGTCGGTCGGATAGACAGACAGCGGGCAGACAGACAGCCGTACATACCGACCATCGGCTGCTATCATTATCAGACACACTACTACCCATATGGGCCAAAGTGAAAAAGAGTCAGAGTCAGGCGGAGTATCGGTGTGAGTGTGTAATTTATAACCACGACTATGAATTGCTGGTTGTTTTTGATGTTGTTGTTCTTGTCGCTGGTGGTGGTATTGGATAATGTTTGTTTGTTGTAGTTGATGTTGTTATTCTTGCTGTTGTTGTTGTTGCAATTGTTATTATGGCATAAAAACTTGAAGTGCAATTTATAATACCAGGGATTAGTAAAGGAATTAGTATGTTATGTCAGAATGTTAACATTTTGCATGTGTGTGTGTGTGTTTCTGTTTCTCTTTGTGTGCGTGTGTGTATGTCAGTTTATGTGAAGAGCTTTAAATCGCATAGGGATCACACATATGTATACTATGTGTCAGTTGTAGAGTGGTGCTCCACTATCTGTAATATGCCCCTTAGCATAAGCTGTACTATAATGCTGATGCAGCAGCAGAAGCAGCAGCTTAAATGTATTACACACAAAAATACCGAGTAGAAAGAGGTTAATATATGTTTGTGTTTGCCGATCCTAAGATACCTTATATATTATCTATATAGATGGCGCTGGCAATCATTCGAGGTATATGCGTTTAATTAGCCCTAATCAAGGTCATTCAGGGCGATAAGCTGCCTCTCACGTTTGCGAACAAAATTCATTATTGTAAATTGACGTCCATAATGAAAACCTATAGATTTTGGCCCTAACCTCTAAATGTTACAGTTGGCGTATAATTCGTTTATAAAAAAAATGGCGGATGATCACCAACGAGGTCGAAAGGTTGTTGCTACCGAACATATTAAATAATACTAGGTACTCTCTATATATCAACTGGACGTAAACATTATACGAGTTTTTAATAACATTTCGTCCGAGCGGACTACACACGATGAACCCAAAGGATATAAAACTATCGAATAACTTCCCACAGAGGTAAATTTTGTAGAAAAGGAAAAATCGTACTACAAGTATTTAATTATAGTCACTGAATTATATTTGAATGCGATTTTGTTAAAAAAAAAAACAACAACAAAGCAACAATACGGCTTAAGAAATTAAAGATTTGGACCCAAAATTATATTTCATACTAGTCAAGAATTTATGGCACATAACAAACAGAGACAATATTGAAATATCAGTGGATCGAAAATATTTTACGACAAATCTCAAAAATTTTCTCAAATTTAGTTCGTTCGTTCGACCTGTATCAGATTCGGAGAAGACCTACTGCAGCTTTGGCGGATTGACTGCGTTTAATTCAGGCTCTTTTAAAAAGCAGAGTTAATATTGAAATAACAAACAGAGACAATATTGAAATATCAATAGAACCAAAATATTTTACAACAAATCTCAAAAAATTTCTCAAATTTGGTTCGTTCTATAATTCGACCTGCATAAGATTTCGTGAAGACATACTGCTGCTTTGGTGGATTGATTGCGTAAAAATTCATACGAATATTTTGGCTTATAAAAGCTCAACATGACAATAAGTCATAATTTTGCAAGAAACCAGAAAGTCCATAAATATTCATTCCAATAAATTTTGGAATGAATCAATGGAATCCATCTGAGGTCAAATGGTAGGCTTATAACATCTAATAATAATACTTCTTCTACTCTTAAAATTTGGAGCTCTAAATTTTTCCAAAGGAATACAGAAACAGTAACAACCAATAACTAATACTTCTACAGGTATTTCTACAGTATTCTATGATAGTTAAGGGCACGCTCTGTGGAAATAACACCACCACCGCCATCATTACTATCATATTCTAAATTTACGAGCATTAAATATTTGTTGTTGGTTTCTTTATGGTTTTGTTTTAGAAAATTAAAATGATTGTTCATGTTTTACTGAATGTAATTTATAATTTAGCATTCCCTGCCCCCATTACGACGCGCATTCCACTTAAACACAAATGCCAATTCCGAAAAAAGGAATTCAAAACACAAACAACAGCAAATTATAAAATAAAAAATGAAATTACTACACAACATTTATATTAGTATTGGTATAAAGGTAGGTAGGACGTAGGTTGGTTGGTTGGCTGTTTGGGTTATAGTTATGTGTTCATACACTGACAAAGATTACTAGTTCTTGATATCTTTATAGTAGTATACCACCCTACAACACCAACAACAACAACAACCACAACTAGCATACAAACCAGAATGAACGATGATGGCGTGTTTAAAATCCGGCTACCGGAATGCACAAATCCTCAAAAAGAACACAAAAACCAACAACAAATACGCCACACACTACACTACAATTGAGAGCAGCAACAGCAGAAACACTTCGTACAACAAACGGCAATTCTGCCGCTGCCACCACTATGGAACCAAAACGAAATGTACCGCCATGAAATTGTATGGTGTAGTGTATAATAATGCATACTTTCACGCTAAATTACGCATACCCCCGAAAAGCCGAAAGCTTCGCAAGCAACAAACAAAAAATATCTTGAATGAAAAGCTCACAAAAGGACAACTCGCCACGAATACACTACCCGAATGTCGTACTCCAAGCGAAGCCAAAAGAGAGCCAGAGAAACACCCCCACACTTAAGAGCAGAAGCCACCAAGGCAAGAGAATTGGTTTTTTGATTTTTGCTATGTCGAGGGTGGTTTATGGCCAAATTCTACTACTATTAAGGGTTGATGGAAGAGGTCTATTTTGTGGTGCTTATCAATGTATTTAAGGAAAATATTCCACAAAATGCTATCATAAAATAAATTACCTTTTTTCGCCTGGATTACAAATCCGGATTGGCAACCCGTGTTTAAAATTGGACTTCCTTGAGGATAATTTGCAATTATTTGTTACCCATCCAAGTTTAGTTTCTATTTTATGTTTACAAAAATAAAAGAACACCTTGCTTTTTTCTTTTGCATGCACCGCAGGATATGCAAATAGCCAGACAACGCTTAGCACTTATCAGCACACCAATAATATTGCCACTATTTCTTTTTGTTATGGATTTTTCCAAAAAAAAACAAAAACTTCAATTTTTATTTGATAAACATTGAATTTATTCGGTTTACAATGTTTCCACAAGATCGCCTTTTGTTTGCCTCGTTTTTTTCTAATGCATTAAACTACGCTTCTTCTTCAATCGATTTTGATTTAATTCCATTTGCATTTTATTCACCAGAAATTTCAATTGTAATTTTCACAATAGAAATAAAGAATTCCGCAAAATCGTACCGTTCTCAGTCAAATTAAACTCGCAACTGAAGAGTTGCAGGCTTTATCGTATCCTTTAAAAAGGTTGCTTATTTGTTTGCGGGGCATTCTCTTCACAACAGAGAGCCAGCGAGGAAGGATACTCTTTAGGGTTACTAAAAAAAGCAGCTGTGCATGGAAATATTTGTGTCGATAAAACTGTTCAAAAAAGAAAAACAGCTGATACGAAAAAACGAAAATTACCGTTATAGTTATATATGACTATTTGTAATTATTTTTTTTTTATTTTTATTTAAATTTATGTAAAGTTTGAGGAACCTTGATTGGGCGCCAAAACATGAATGTCATTTCTAATAAATCAGAACGCCAACATAAATTTTACGGCTATCGTTTTAATATATTATATGTAATTGGTATTCCGGGGAGTGAAGAACAGTATTTGCTCATAATCTTCGTTATAGATCCATATTTGGACAAACCGCCCATACAAAGATCCCTCTACATTTTTCAAAATTTCAACATGTTCTCACATAAGTGGTTGTAATATGGCATTTTGGATTTCTAGTAAATAAACCTTCCTTCCAGACAACAGCCGGAAATGGTAGAAAATGCTCACCAATTTTATTTAGGAATAGGAAAGAAGGAGGAAAACATAAACATATCACCCGTAAAGAATATGGCACAATATATTATTTATTTCAAATAGTTTCTGTATATAAACACCGATATCTATATAAAGCTAGAGCTCTTGCATACCCTATAGTCCCAAACAGATATGTAGGTATGACTAATAACCACCAATTTCGCGGGTTCCGTGGTCATCGTTATAACCTATTTGACACATATTTATTCGTCTGTCTAGTAAAGATTTCATTAATCGAATTATTTGATTTTTTAATGCACGAAGGAAAAAAATTTTTTTAATTCTAATTGGAGAAAACCACTTTTCTAAAAAAAAATAGATCATATACTTTGTATAAAAATACTAATACATTCTCTGTGTCTTTGTCTGTGTCTGTTTTTTTTTTTTTTTTTTTTTGAATCCCCTCTGACCTATCGAACTATTTGTTCACCAACAAAATGTCTTTGTCTACGAAGATCTAAAAATTCTAATCAATTCGAAAACTATGTTTGTACTTGCATCTAGTGTTTGCTCATACGAATTCTATGGCATTGTATGTTTTCAAATATTCGTTGATATTCATTTATTTATTCACAGATTATTGTATTTACTTTGGTGATTCGGATTCTTGTGCTGTGTTCCACTATAAAATATTGATAAAAATTATTGATGCTAGTTTCATTTTCATTTTAGTATTTAATGGATGGCATCGTAGCATCTTGACTTCAGTCATATCAATTCTTAAGCAGCACAAAGGCGATAACCTTAGAAGGGCTGCAGTGGCAGTGGAGGCACTAACAGCAGCAGCAGTAGCCGTTTTCCTATTCCTCAAGCATCAAATGATAAGTAAAACAAAAAAACAGAAACACTGCGGCTGGCCGGCGATTGCAAGCGAGCAAGACCGAACGAATCGATGATGAACAACGGCGACAGAACTATTGTAAAGATTAGCTTTGCTAATCAGCTCCATAGTAAGTTTGGATTTAGTTTCATTCGTTTCGTCGGAGAGAAGCAACATGTACCGGAAAAGTGGAAAATTTAAGCTGCTGCTGCTGCAATGTCTCTTGATTGGCGGTTTCCTGTGGCATCAATGTGTGGCCCAACAACACTACAGTATGAATGAAGATTTTGCCGACTATGAAGAAGAGGATAAATATGATTATCACCATCCTTTGGACCCACGTGCGAACTATGGCTTCCGCACACCAGGTGCTAATCGATATGCTGACGACTACTCACAAGGCGAAAGTGATCCGTATGACACCAGGGAGGAATATCCAGAGCCACGCATAATTTCACCCCCACTTCCTGATGTTGAAAACGGTGGCGGTCACAATCAAGATGAGAATCCTGAACCACATATTATCACTCCACATGTTTCGAACACAGACAGCCGAAATATGTACGAGAGAGAAGAAGAAGATCCAAAACCGAACCTCATATCTCCCCATGTTTCCACTTTACAACACGGAAACATGCCGTCGATGGAAGAACACTTGGATCCAAGATTCTCAAATTCACATGAAGAGGATCTTCAGCCAAGACTCATTACTCCCCATGTTTCTGAAACCCACGATGGAAACATGCGATCGAGCGACGAATATCCCCAACCAAACAACATAACTCCCCATGTTTCTGATACCGAAAAAGAGAACATGCACTCGAGTGACGAAAATACCATCTCTCAACATGTTTCCCAATCCCATGATGGAAACGTGGACTTGAGACCCGAAACCCCACTACAACCGTATGCTCCTCATATTCCTCATTCATTCGAGGAAAATATGCAGCCAAGACAAGAAAACCATTATGAGCCCGAAGTACGTCCTGTGGATCCCAGAACGATAACACCGCCACCACCTACACCATCTAGAACATATGACCATCAACAGTATCCATTTTACCAACAGGCCCGCCCACTGCCACCCACCGGCCAGAGATCCCACAATCCCCCACCTACTAATGCTGATCCCGCATATTCTGGCTCTCGCGATCGTGTTCCCTACCAGCCTAGTAGCAGAGCATCACACATAGTAAATGTTCCTCGCCTAGGTGCTGTACAAGGTATTCGCGATTTCAAAACCATTAAGAGTAGGCCCATCAATGCCTACTTGGGTTTAAGGTATGCCACAGTAAGACCCGGCATTGGCAGATTCCAGGTATATCATTCGATCGTAACACCAAAAAATCGATTCATAATAAACATTTCATTTTAGGCTGCCAGTCCTGTTGAAATTAATCCTTATGGCACCATTGATGCCACACAAGAACCTGCTAATTGTCCACAATTCCCCGATTTGCCAATTATAACCGAGAAGGAGGCAAAAGGAGAAAATGTTGATGATTGTCTCACTCTGAATATTTATACACCAGATGTAAGTCCACAAATAACGTTACTGGCTATTTCCGATACCATGACGTTTTCCATTTTTAGAGACCCGGTTCCTATCCAGTGTTGGTATTTGTCCATGGTGAAATGTTGTTTGATGGCAGTGCTGAAGAAGGACAACCCGATTACTTTTTGGAACATGATGTGGTTTTGGTGAATATTAACTATCGTTTGGCACCTTTCGGATATTTGTCCACATTGACCGAAGATATGCCCGGCAACGTTGCTCTGTCGGATATTCAAAAATCCTTGGAATGGATTCAGCAATATATACGCTATTTCAATGGTAATCCTGATCAAGTTACACTTATGGGCCAAGCTGGAGGTGCCACCCTTGTTCATGCCCTTAGCATAAGTGGAAAGGTATGGTGGCCGAGTTATTAAAGCTTTTGCTGGTATTAAGAAATGTTGTTGTTTTTTAAAGGCCCAAGGACTATACCACAAATTAATTTTGCAATCTGGAACTGCATTGAATCCATATTTCTTGGATGAGCAGCCCACGAGCACATTGCGTAGCTTTGCCCACTTTGCCCGATGCCCTCCTAGTCGCACTACTGAAGGTTATATTTCTTGTTTTGAAAGTATGAAGACCACGGATCTGTTGACCTATTTCAAGAGATATTTTGTAAGTTTGCATCGGATTTTTTTAATGTTGAAACAAAGAGGATATTCCTCGTCAGACAGATCTTTGTCTAATAGCAGTGAGTGTTCATCCTTATTTTTATTTTCTTATAGGAGAGCAATGAACCTCGTGGCCTGGCCTTTGCTGGTGGTTTCAAATTGATTGTTGGCGATAAATTGGGCTACTTGCTCCAACATCCTGCCTCTATGGTAAAAAATAACACCAGCCCAACACTGGTGGGAGTAACAAAAGATGCTGGTGCCTTTATTATGACCCGTTTCTACGATCAATTGGTTGAATTAAAATCGCGTAACATTTCCGATTACATTAATGTGGTATTGAAGCACACGGTACAGCCACGTCATTATCAGTTGTGGAAGAACTGGGCCTTAACACACATCTTCAATCCGGAAGATATACGCAATCCCACCATTCAGGGATTGGTACAAAAATTATTAGAGGTAGGCTGTAAATACTAGGACCCAATTTTGTTCTTATACATCTCCATTTTTTTTCTTTTCTGACTTTCCAGTTGGTCAACTTGATTCTATATCGTGCCCCTGTTGTGGACAGTATTCGCTATACATCGAAGAATGTGTCCACCTATTTGTATTGTTTTGATTATCGTGGTCAGTATCATCGTTTCGGTCACTTGCGCAATCCCTTGCCCTTTGAAATTGATGCTACATTGAGCGATGACAACATTTACCTATTCCCCTATCCCGAAGAAGTGAGCCGTTTAAATCCTTTGGACAAATCGGTATCCGGTTCCTTGGTACGCATGTGGGTTAGCTTTGCCCAATACGGTATGCCCGTTTATAGTCAAAGTATATGGCCCAATGTTAGTTCGGAATATGGGCCATTTTTGCGTTTCACCAATACCAGAGCTGGCAATTTAGAATTGGATTATCACTTTGGCGATGGTATACCAGTACCTAATCAGTATCCAGAATATTTTACTACTACGACCACAACTACAACAACTACTACGACCACCACAACAACAACCACAACTACACCACGTCCATATCAGCCATACAACTATTACGAACGTCCTCCTAGCTACCGCAACTATCAGTATCCGAATTATCAACAATATTCAAATCGTTATAATTCTCGGCCATACAATTATCGTAATCTGCCGCAACAGCAGTATCAACCCGACCCCAGAACCGCAAATGCACATTATTCCAATTACCCTACACATCAGCAGCGTCGTCTAATGTAATGACCTGAATTCATTCGGACTCATTTTACACATCTAAAAATAGTTAAAACAACCACATTAGACAATTAGAAAATAAATATTGATTTATTATTTTGAAATAAACATTTAAGAATAGCATTCGTGAATATGAAGATTTGTGGCTGTCAATTTTTTTCATTCGATGAAGCGATAGCAGAATTTATTCTTCTTATCACTCTTGTCGACATAGTTCTGCGATGCAAGAATACCAACTTCTAGAAATTAGAATTTTCTTTTGTTATTAGTTTTGATTGAGTAGATGGTTACGATGAAATATCATTGAAATATTGGTCAACTCTTTCCGGTACCTCCCTCACAAAGGTTCAATATTTTAATAACTAATGAAATAAGCAAATGAATCCATTGTAATATTTTACCAAACCTACATTAAATCCAAAGATGGGTATAAAGGACACAGAAAGTCAACTCTTTGATAAAAAAAACATACACCTAATATAAAGCGAATAATAAAACCTGGGTGTAATTCCGTAGATCTCTGCAAACCATAGGCCGAGTGTATAAGTAAATATCGGCAAAACCGACTTACACTGTTTTACTTGTTTTCTAAGGACTATTTATTCATTATAGACTATTTTTTAAGTCATTTCATATGGTGGACACTCAGTAAAAATTTCCAAGCACCCCTGCATTAGAAAAACGTTGATTTAAATTCTCTTACCTTTGAAATATCATGTGACATCAAGGATTCTCTCAGAAGCTCTCGAAAACAAGAGATAATGCAGTTTGTAGGAGATCGAACGATGACGGCAGCGCTGCGGCTGATACGACAACGAATGTGTAAATGAACGTCGAAGACACGAGAACATACATACATCGAAATGATCATCAATATTAAAGAACTGCGCATTTTTGCCAAACATATTCCAATTTTTTTTACCAAATATTTTAATATTGAACGTATTAAATATTTTGAAACCCCAATTGCTATACAACAAAAACACAACACATTTGCCAAAATTAACAACAGGAATGACAGAAAGAAAGTCATAGCACAACACCAAATGAAGAAACACAAGAATAGAAGATGTGCAATTTGTAATGAATGCAAAACTTCTTTTTAGCGCGTTAAAATTACATATTTAGCAAAAACAACCAAATTCACTGACTCATAAACTATTAATTAATAATTACACTTTATAATTAAATTTTCTAAAAAAAAACGCACCTAAAATACCGAAAACACGACTCACGAAACCGTCGAAAAATTTTCGCAACCTGTTGCAATGGAAGTGTCAATGAACTAATGAGAGAATAATATTAGAGTTGCCATCACCAATGTAATTTAATACGATGATGTTATGGCAAATATTGTGAACGTTAATTTGAGAAAAAAGTTAAAGTGCATTAAATGTAGTGGTAGTCACTGGATTTCATTGTTATGAATTATTCTCATTGTTGACAAAGATCAGTTTTATAATAGGTCAAAACCGAATGAGGAATATTTTTGTTAAACTTGTCCTCCTTCTATCTTGAGTTACAATAACTTTTCTAATATTTAAAATCGATATTATTTGCTCCTTTAATCCCTAAACTAAATGACTGAATGAAGTCCACCATCAATCACATTTTGGATCTAATTACATTGATTAGGGCAACTCTACAATTATTTTCTCTTCAGTTTTTTTTTTTTTTGTGTTTTAATTAAAGCCGGCCGCGAGTACTTTGTCGGGAGTTTTGTGAGTGGCGTTTCTTTAATTTCGGTAATAAATTAATGATATATCATCTGAAATTTTTTATAATTAGTTTAAACCAATTCAGTAAATCCGATATTGTTAATAAAACTGATAATTTTATCGTGTTTTAGTTTGTGCGCAGCAAGTGGCCCATCTATGTTTTGTGTTCTTTTTTCTTCGTGTGTTTGTATTCTTTTGTTATTCAAAGCTTGAATTCCTCCTTGTAAATAAATCAAAGTTATTGGCAAAGTGAAAAGTGTTTTAATTGAAATTGCAAATTCATTGAAATAATAATTATTTGCCAATATAAATTGCCGTGTTAAATAATATTGGCCATTTGTTCTTTGTTTAGGTTAGTGGCCATTTTGTTTGTTTACGTTTTTCGTGTCATCCTCGGTCGTCTGAACAATCGTTGTCGTCGGAGTCGCCGTCGTCGTTTGATCTCCATTGCCCTCGTGAGCCTTTCCTAAAATCACGAGAGCACATGGCACATGGGTTTTTTTGTATTCAAGGTAAGAATTTTATTTTATCTTTTCCAACATTATTCACTTGTATGGTTGGCAGGGATAGGAAATTAGATTTTGTGATTCAATAGAGAATCTGCAACTAAAATTCGTCAACAGAAGTGGAACTTTTTTACTTTTTTATTAACCAATAAAAATAAAAAACGAATTATACGTCTCTTCGATTTTTATAACTCGAAATATGCTCCAATGATGATAAGCTCTTTCATCGGCAGAATGAAACCTTTCATGTCGTATGCAAATTAATCACTCACACCGATAAAAATATTATAGACAATACATTTTTCAAAATAAGCGGAACGATGATTAACGAATGTGTGTCAATAGGAAATTTGTGATTTTCACATAAATTCAACCATCTCATAACGTGTTTAATATCAGCGAGTTTCATAACTGATTCTGATTCATGAGCTGTATGAAGCATTCACTCTGGGCTAGAATCTCGATTCTTATTTTGACAACATTCTCCAGACAATTTACATAACACAACACAACAAGTCCGAAATTAACATAATAACGTAAGAGTGAAATACAATTAAAATTAAAAAAAACGTTCTTTATGTTTGGAACCGATTCCATTCCTAATGTCTATAAATAACTTTATTTCTATTTGGATGCCTTCTTACTAAACTATTTTTGGTTACAAATTTACCCACATGAACCGCCGAGTTGTTAGTAGCACTGCGACTTGGTTCACTCACAAGTCTGTGGCGGTTTATCGTAAACCTTCGGCGAGGATTTATTTTCGTTGTTCGTCGCGGATGTTTTCGTGAATGATTTCTACGCAAATAGTACACTTCTCTTATCAAACTATGACCTTGTTCTTCATCCAACGTCGTGGCCGAAAACTCTTTGAAATAATTCCCAGCAATGGTTAAAGTTTCGTCCAACTTAGCATAGGGTCCATACAAAGTTGTCATGGGAGGCCAGTAACCACTACGATGACTTCCAAAGGGATGGCCATCAATAACAAATGATGTCCACAATTCTACCATACGTTTGGCCATGGCTTCATCGGGTGGGCTAAGCTTGCGTACATGATCTGGATATGGGAATAGGTATAAAGCTTCGTCTGTAAGCGATACCCCAGCTTTGAAAGGACTCTGCATATTATGTTCTTCGTCCATGTCCCGATAGCGATTGAATTCTCCAGCATAATCGAACGAATAGAGGAACGTGTTGTGGGGAACATGTTTGTTGTTCATATTCAAAGCCAATAGCACAGGCAGTTTGTGCAAAAGAGTACCGGCCACCTAAAATATCATATGAATAGATTAGTACTTTTATAATACTTCTCAATAATATACGCACATCAATAAGTCTGGGTATAAGAGTGGCAAAGGTACCATTCTCCATGAGCCGGCGATTGAAGAAATCATGTGTAATAAAGCTGGTCAGCAGCATTGTTTTATCAGTACCCACAGCTTGACGTATAACATGGTCAATATAATCGAAACTTGTATAGGTATCATCGGGTATTTTTCCTTCAAAATCATTTTCAACAATTTCTGGAAATAGCCATCAATTTAAATGAGAATTATTCATTGAGAAGTAAACAACTGCAACCTACCATTTACGGTCTTTGAACCGGCATTTTTAGGACAACCACCCATGGCTGGATAAGAAAAATTACTCTTCAGCATCAAATCGTATGGATGTTCGGGTAATACTCCACTAGGACCACCGATTGTAAATTGTATACCGCCAGTATGACCGACACCCAAATCCGATTTTTCAATCTAAATATAAAAAAATGGAGGCAAATATAGGAATGTTATAATTTTCATTTCCAATATCCCCCCTTTAACCACTTACACCATGTTCCATAAATGCTTCCAAAAGTTCCATTGGTGACATATCCATTAAACACCTATTCAAATCGCCCACAGTGGCCAAGGTACATTCTCCTTTCGCGGCAATTTCTTGGGCAAATTTGCGTGGATTGTCCTCTATGAAGATGGGCATTAAAGCCGAACCTGAGTGATATATAACCTGATGGAATAGACCCTTCTCCACCTACACCAAAATAAGTAAGAGGAAGTCATTATAGATTCAAATTAAAGTTGAACAAAAATAGTCATGTTACCCTTGGTGAAAGCGTCAAAAGATGAGCAATAGCTGCACCACCCACTTGACCAGCCACAGTGACCTTATTCGGATCTCCACCAAAGTATTTGATAAAGTATTTAATATATTGCAAAGCTAGAAATATATCCAAAACACCAGCATTGCCAGGGATTTCGTCTGTCTTTGTGGACAAAAATCCAAAAGGACCCAAGCGGTATTGGGGGGCGACTAATACGATATCCTTCTCCAACAGGTAATCTGGTGGGGCTTCCGAATTACTGCCTTCAAAGAAATATTCGCCATGTATGTAAACTAAAACCGGATAACTACCATTGACGCTAGGAGTAGTTATGGTCATGGTCAGACAATCTTCAATATCAATAAAATCATCGAGTTTTCGCAACGATTCCATGGCCACAATTGAAGGACAACCAATTTTGGCAGCAGTGGCATCCATAACATCATCCCAGGGTTCCACGGGACGTGGTGCCTAATTGTATGAACAAATAAACGATTCACTCATTCTGAACAGCTAATGGAACAAAACTAAACGCATACCTTAAATCTGTACTTTCCAGAAGGTGATTCAGCATAGCGGACATCGACAAACTGTACAACCTCTCTTTGGGTCCATGCCGTTTCAACTGTCTTTCCTTGTATTTTACCCAAATTGGGCAATTCAATTATAATATCATCGGTTTCCTCCTCCGATGCTCCTCTAGAATACCCGATAAGTGGCAGCAGCACAAGGAGCACTGCAAGCAGGCTTTTACATTTGCACACCATATTTTCTCAATTCCCTCGCGGTTTTATTTTCGCAACACGACACAAGTCAACCGTTTTAATCCGAATATCTTTTAAGACTGATTTCACTCTGTCGCACAGAACTCCATTTTACCATATTTGATGAGATTTCGTTTTGGCAATAATGCAAATTTCACCCGTAGCGCTTCGCAAACCAATCATCTCATCTTTTTACAACATTTGGTGATAGAAATTAAGAAATTTTGGCAAACCGAAAAGTGAAAGAATGCGTCAAAACGAAAACAACAACAGAAGAAATATACAAACCCCAAATGCGGCTAAACTATCTATCTGCTTGTCCATCGGTCGTCGCTAGTTATCTACGGGTCACTGTTGCTGCTGCCGCTGACAAACATGAGAACAATACCAACAGCTACAGTCTGTCTATGGTAACATCATTAGCATAAATTTGTCGAATCGGTAAACATAAGTCGAGCGCAGTGAGTAGCTGTTGTTTAAAGATCATCACCATGAAGACCGCAAACTATGGATTGAAGTAGAGCATAAACAAATTTGTTGTTTCTTTTTTTTTTGCGAAAAAAAACATAAAATTGCTCTTTCTTTGTCTGATTTCTGTGAATCAATTTCGATTTCATTAATCCCCTCCAGAACTTATCTAATGATTTAATCACCTCCATCGCAGTTAATTAAACAACTGCAGAAGAAGGCGAAGAAGTTCCGTTTAAGTGTTATCGTGATTAGTAATATTTGAAATAAGTGAAAGCTTTAATCATAGCATCTCAATTTGTATTGATTTCGCTTGTCTCCTGTCATAGGTCAGTCAAAACATGAATTAGACATCAAGGGGTATGACTGCATGCGTACAAAAATCCAAAACACTCTCCATTTCAATAAAACTACAAAGAAAAATCTATACAAATATAATTTTATTATTATTAGTGAAGGCATCCATGGATCACATGGAAACACAAATCTTTAAATATTGATAAAAATCAAGCTCATGCCTTTCTGAATTAGTACTTTAAAAATGTCCTTCCTTCCCACTTAAATATATCAGTTCCTATAATAATGACTGGGATCACAGTAGCATAAAGTTAAAATAAAATCTTATTTGTTATGCTAATTTTTCGAATCTATAATCAACTCAATTCGAAATTAATTTAGAGATCAGATGGGCCTTTGATCTTTGACATTATTCTACACTAGAATGAAGCAGCACACAATATGTGCAAAACCGTTAGATTTATGTTTTATGAACCAGTTTCTTAATGTGAACTCTAAATGTGACACTTAAATTTTACCAATTAATCTCCTTTGCTTTTAAGCTATTCAATTCGCTAATGGTTTTTGAGTTCCCCAATAGAATTTCTTTCAAACTTTCTAAAATGACCTTCACGAATAAAGCTAATTTTGGCGACCCACAAAAAATATATAAATAACATTTGAATTACAAACATCTAAAAGTATTTTCACATAGTGTTTTCTAATCTTATATATTAATTATTAAATAAAGAACGAAAATAAATTGAAAAGTTATTAACGTTTGTGAGTGGAAAATCCCCATACTATTTGACAAGCTTTCTCTACACTACAAATTACAAAGGAGGACCAGACCTCCGGGTCTTCTTTCAATATTTCACACAAAAGATAATTGGCCAACAACAAATTAACGATTTTTATTTTTTATATTTCGTTGAATTTTTATTTTATATTTCTTTTTTCTTCTTCTTCTTCAAATTAATTGTAATATATTATAGTTAAAACTTAGTTCGGTGGGCAATCAAAACAATATTGCCTCCACGAGCTTCACCATTCGATTCATCATCTTCGTCTTCCTCTTCTTCCATCTCGTCTTCGTTCTCTTCCTTTTTAAGTTCATTTATAAAATCAAAGAAGTCATCGTTCACGATGTTATAGCCCATTTTGTATTCTCTAACAGCGGCAGTGAACTCATCGATATAACTATTGCCAATGGTAACGGTTTTTCCCAATTTCGCATAAGGTCCAGCATCTGCAGACATTGAAGGCCACTCTGGCATATGGGGAGCTGAGGGTTTACCAGTTGCCGCAAATGAAGTCCACAACTTAACCATGCGCAAGGCAATCTTCAAATCGCGATTAGAGTTCACCGTGGCGAAACGAGGCCATGGAAACAGATAGAGATTCTCATCGGTGAGTGAAACACCCAATTCGAATGGCAATTCGGTTTGATCATCAATGGTGCCATAACGATTGAATTCACCTTCATAGTCGAAGGAATAGATGAAAGTACTATTAGGAAGTTTCCTGGCATTGCCCTGAGCGGCCAAAAGTACGGGATTCTTGAATGCAATTGTGCTACATAACTAAAAGAAACAAAGACAACAATTAATAAAAAAAAAAAATTCTTTCCACACTACATTTTATCTCTACTGCATCGTACATCGATCAGACCAGGAATCATGCGATAGAAAGAACCATTTTTCAATTGTCTAGCAGAAAACACTTCCTCCAAGGCATATTTTAACCAAGCACCGCTGCTATCTGGGCCATTTGTTTCGCCAATAATAGTTTTTATGTAATCCGTGGCATTTAATTGATCGTCTACAATAGTCTCGTTAAAGCTGTCAATGAAAATGTCTGGGAAAGATCACTATTAGACTGCGTCAAGTGAAAATCAAATATCAATTAGAATGCACACCTTTCATCATATAAGTACCAGCATGTTTTGGTGTACCTGCCATGGTGGGATAGGCCTTGAAATTTCCAGAGGTCAAGAGCTTAGCAGGGAATTGAGGCAAAATGCCAGAGGGACCTCCGACCACAAATTGTGCCCCACCACTAGAACCAACACCTTGGCCTGTTTTCGAGGAACCATGTATGCTGAACGCCTCCAACAATTCGGTGGTATTCAAATGACGCAAACATTTGTTCAAGGATTCAATTTTATTCACATTTTTGCAACCGGCAATTTTAGCAATATCCTTGGCAGCAGGCAAAGGATTGTCAGTTATAAAGGCAGGTGAGAGGCTGGAGCCGGATTGGTAGATGACACGATGGAATAAACCTTCTGGAACCTAAAAAGAAAAATTCAGTATTAAACGCCACTTCAATTGCTGCCATGATAAGGAAAACATACTGCAGGACTCATGGTTAGGACATTGATAAGAGCAGCACCTCCGACTTGACCGAACAATGTGACACGATCAGGATCGCCGCCAAAGGAAGCAATATTATTTTGTATCCATTTCAAGGCCAAAATGACATCGGAAACTGCAGCATTGCCGGGAATATCATCGGACATGGTCGACAGGAAGCCAAAAGGTCCCAAACGATAACGCACAGTTACCAAGACAATGTCTTCCTCCAACAGATAACCGGGAGGAGCATCCAATGTACTGCCGTCGTACAAGAAGTCACCATGAATGTACACCATAACTGGAGAACTTAATTTGAGCTGCGGATAATTGAAGAAGGCAATTAGCAAAGTCGATTTTTAATATACGTAAATAAATTAGAATGCATCCTACCGATTTGGTATTAACAGTTAAACGTAGACAGTCCTCAACCTCAATATTTTTCGCCAACAAAGCTTCATAGTCGGAAAGATCATCTAATGCAGGGCAGCCGTTAAAAGGCCGTTCGGCCTTCAATGTACCAGCCCATGGTTGTACTGGCTTGGCAGGTTTAAATCTCAAAGCTCCACTCGATCCTGTGGCGTAGGGTATATCAAAGAATTGTATAATTTCCTGACCACTCCATTCAGTTTTCACCGTGCGTCCGCGCACAGCACCCAAGCCAGGTATAATGTGGTGAACAAAATCGTTTTTGTTTTTGTTATTCTGTTCACGATTTACATTCTTGTTGCGTACGCCACCAGATTTCTTATTCTGATTCACGCGCTTTGTGGGGTTCCGTTGCTTCTGCTGCTGTCTTCCCTGTGGAACGGCAACTTTTCGTTTTCTATTCTGTTGTTGGGCAGCATTCACCACTACCCCGATGATCAGGATCAGTAAAATCAAATAGGTAATCCGCATTTTGGTCCTCAGCTATGTGATATGTGTGTGTTGTGTGTTTCAGCCACAACCTACAACTGTTTAAAGATCTTAACAGAATCGTAGAAAGAAACCTCCGATTATTGTTCGAAAGCCCAGCGGATTTATTTAAATTATTTATGTTGTTCGGTAGTTGTTGCCCCCAGGGACCAAAAAGAAACAACATTTTCGAAATTAGGTCGAACATAACCAGTGTCGATCTTTCTCAAGACTACTACCCACCAATCCCCGTGGCTTTACCTGAGAGCAGACAGCAACAACAAGCTACATAATATACGACTTTGCAAAACGAAACCTTAAAAAAGAACAAACAAATTAGCAATTATAATTAATAATAATTTTTCTTCGGCATTTCTTCGCAACGCTTAACGACATTCTAATACTGAAAGGGTTAAATGTCATATTTGTGTATGTGAAACCGGTTATTGACCGGCCGGTCATTGTGCTTTAAATTCGCCACACAAATCACAATTTTTGAAACTCTTATCCCACATTTGTTAACTCAGACTATTGAGAACCATAATTAATCAAGCAATGGGTGACGAAATAAATTAAAGAACCGTTCTGATAAATTGTAACTTATGTAACCATAATATGGAAGAGAATATTTCAAATCGTTCATATGTATGCTTGAATCTCTGTTACGTGGTCGTTATGATACATTTACATACGTGTTTATCTCAAACAATATTTTCAAAACTTTTAGATATTGAATATATGTGAATAAATTATTGCATATGAATGAACTAACCATTAAAGTATTACCCGTCAACTTTTCTCTGACCAATTTACGGATTTGTATATTTCGATTAATGCAAACCGAATGCAATGTATTTTTAGCACAGAAAGAAAATCCAATTGCTTTAATCTGGAAATATGTAGAATTGAACATTATATCATTTGATTAAAATAGTGTCTTGGAATAACACTTTTATTTAGAATAAATATGAACGCAAGAACTATTGACCATGTCACTATCTTTTGATTTTGTGGCGCTGAGTCATCGTGGAATCCATTTCATGACTTTATCATTTCAGTTTATACATATAAATATGGTAGTTATACGCTTAAGATAAAGCATAGTCAACGACAGACGAACGAACATTCACTCTCAACAAATACGCGGTACGTTTAATATGTGAAAATAGCCGCATTTCAATAGATCTTATCGCACACAAAGCAAATACAAATCAATTATTTTGTTTGCGTTTATGTTTTGCTCTCTAACACGTGGTGGGTGTGATTGCACAAGCACCATCCGGCCAAGTTCTATAGCTTCTGCAATTCGCAATAACGGACGCAGTTAATCAAAGGAAATTAGAAGCTATAAAGACTAGGCGTAATTCCAAATAGTAGGATAGTTGTGTCAGCTTACAAGGACTCCACACTACAAATAAGAAAACAACAAATTATCGTTTATGATTTTGAATATATTTCATTTTATTTTCCCAAATAAAAGTGTAGTTTGTTTTAATTCGTATCTTTCTGTATCTGTATGTGTATTGTGTACAAGGACATTTTGAAAGTGATTTTATGTTTTTGTTATAACATATAGGATATACGTTTTGGTTTAAAATTAAAAATTACATCAAAGTTGTTGTCATTGTTATTCAAAGGATTCCTAATAAGTACACACACTGCAGAGTATCGACGAAGAAATGTGAATGAATAATGTGAACTAAAATTTACATGAGAAGGCATATTAGAAAGGAATTGATAAGTTGTTTATCTCAAAAAAGGACAATTATTTTATAATTAAATCCCTTTGGTAATTAAAATAAGCACATTTCATTCAATGATCATTATATTTGTTGTTCTTGGAATTTTAAATGCATCTGAATTTGGATTACAATTAATGTGCCAATAATAGTTAACCAACATCTCTCGCACTAGTAGACAAATATAAAGAAACCTAATCGTTAAAAATATTCAAGCAATTTCCGCTATATGTCAGCAGTACAAAGGTTTGCTTATTTCAGAAATTATTTGTCTTACAGATTTTTATCGATTAGGCTAAAATATATTTAAATAACAAATAACGTTTAAAAGGAGAAATATATAGCTAGAGGAGAAAAGGTAAAATTCATAGTATCCTATAAAGAAAATACTATTTATGTTAGGTAATTATTCAATATTCATTTAAATAATTATAAATATGAATAATTTTAGAGGAAAGTGGTTTTATTTATTTCTTGTATAGTTAAGAAATTGTTTATGTTTATTTACGTTGTATTGTATTTGTATGACATTGGAAAATTATGAAGAGGGACACATTACGATAGATAGTTTAGATAAAGAGGGCGGGCGGGGGTATGGATGAAAGAAGGGGCGGCGCAGGGGCGTATTTAGGTTTATTTAATTTAGAGGAGGCGTAAAGTGTGTAATCGATCGTCTGCTTTTTATTAAAAAGCAATTTAATAATTTGTTTTATATTTTGCTCTAAAAACAAACGTCTGTGTGCTTGTTGTCTTATAAATTCTCTACATCTAAACGGCATTGCGACTGCTACGCCGACGACCCTATTCCACGTCCATCGTTGAATCTTCTGGCACATTGTTGGTGTGCGCCGTCTTATCACCCTCGGCTTTGTTGTCGGCATTCTCGCCGTTGTGTTGCTCTCCACTGGCTGCATTGTCTTTGGGTGGTGCAGGTTTGGCAGCTGGTTTGGGCTTGGGGCGATTGATGACTGAATTTACGCAGGTATTGAGTGTCTGGACTTCATGACGAATGTCGGCAACCTTGACGGGACTGTCGGCGGTTCTTGGCGATTCGGCAAATTTGCTCATGTGACTGTCCAACCACTTCTGGGCCTTCTCGGCATGCTCGGCAATGTTAATGAATTCGGTTTCAGTCAAATGATCGTATTTTGGTGAGCCCTTCTTAAATTCGTTTACAGCCGCATGAGCGTGGTTGATGGCATTTTTCAATTCCGAGAATACGCCTGGGCAGAGTTCGTAGTCACTGGCACGTTCCTTAATGGGATTTGTTTGGTTGTGTAAGGCCTTGAGCTTGTTAACATAAGTATCGCGATCACAATCTTCACCATCTTCATACAGCCAATTTTCCAATTCATTCAATTGGGCACAAATGGCATCGCGCTCGGCATCGACTACATAACGCTCCAATGGACCACCCTAAAAACGAAAATGTCAATAGGTGATTCAAACACAATCAATTGGGAATATTGAATATACCTGTAACTTGTTACGCATCTCATAGACGAACTCTTCCAAAGCGTTCTTAGCATCAATACGTTCGGTTTCCTTGGCATCATTGGATACCATTTTAGCCTCTTGTTGAATCAAATTGTTCAATTCGTTGGGCAAAAAGCCATGTGTGTGTGCCTCCATGGGCAGCTCAATCAATTTGGTACTCTTCTTCTTCTTGTCTGCACCCTGAAATCATAGAAACCAGTCATATGAGAATCCAAACAGATAGAAGTATCGGAGATAAGCAAGAAAAAAGTAGAAAGAGGAAATTTGTAGATGGTGGTTAATCTTAGATTAGCATTGGACCAACAACAGAAGCCTATCCTAAAACCCTGAGTATTATAAATTTGGAAGGAATATTTGAGGCAAATAAAACACTTTGGAGTCAAAGGGGAAAAAAGAACAAGTGTGCATTATTCCAAAGCAAGGGAGGAGTGAAGGTCATTGTTTTTAGTGTTTAATACAAAATTGGATGAGTGTTGGACAAACTAAAACATTTATAAAAAGTAGTGTACTAATTTATATTGCGCTTTGTTAATCTTATTTGACAAGGAGAGTACTCAAGGGTAGGCTTGTGAGCTGTTTTCTTCTTTAGTGTCATTTGTAAAGAAGTAGTTGTAGTATTAGCCAGCCGCCATCTGCCATTGACATTCATTCTGTATACAAAACAGTGTGCTGACAAATGTCAATGCTCGGCCTGTCTGTGTATTCATTTTGCAAATTTCCAATTTCTTGTCTTTTCTTAAATGGTTTGGAAGTAAGTAAGAGAGTGTGTGTAAGGAAAAACTTAATTGTTAAAATGTAAACAAAAGCTTTAGCGTATACGAAACGTACCGGAGTAAACCAGCCCTTGACCCGTTGAGCCCACCCTTGTCCTCCAGGTGATGAGGCAGTATTTGTACTATCGTCTTCATTGTCATTACAAGCCTACGCGATAGTTTGTGTGGTAATGGACCATTATCATCAAACAATGATGACAAGATGTGGTGGTGGTAGTGGTGGTAAGAACGAAACCAAGAAGACAACAAAAAACACAAAATCAATTCGTATTTCAAAAATTTAGCCTACTTTCCTTTTTTCTTAATTTTTACTCAAAGGAAATGCACTTTGCTTTTGATGAAGATGAGAAATAGCGGAGGAAAAACAGTACGAAACTTAAGTATGAATATAATGGTGCTAATGCAGGGACATTCCAACGTTAGATATTTGCAATAAACGTACACGTACGAAAAATAGCAAAACGATATACATTGAATTTCGATTTGTCCACTTATAGTTTGTTGGCAATTTTTATATCTACTACTAACGTTGAAATGCCCCCACACATAAACTTATTTCAAAAGGATGATCGTATAAAGGACAGCAGAACCAAATTATATATGAACGTAAAACAAGTATGGACTATAAGTTAGTAAAAATAAATAGAAATTCTACAAATCGGTTAGATAATAATAAATGTGCTAAACACTGAACTAGATTTGAGATAAACCAAATTGTGATTCTACAACTTAAAATATTTGTTCGCAACACTGAACACTTGGACAGGGACGAAGTACCGCTACAGATGTTAAATGACTTGATGTATTACATACTGATTGGTATTATCTAATGCGAATACATACCTCGGTCTGTACATCCATTGGTTCTCCACCGTTGTTCTGCTGCTGTTCACCACCTGCTGGTGCTTCAGCGTTGCCTGCTTGTTCGTTGGCTTGTTGAGCTTCTTCAGCTTCCTTCTTGTCGACCAACGAAGCACTGGAGATCAATACGATACCGTGATGATTGATTCTTACTTTAACCTTAACCTCGGCAAATTCTCCCTTGTCGTTGGGCTTGACATCCTTAATGGTCCAGCGACCAATGACGGGATCTGGATAAGGAATAGGTTGTGAATACTGAACTGTCATGGTGAAGGGTTCTTTGCGGTTCAAGGTCAGAAGACGGCTAAATGGTGCTGCGTGGAAAACGGGGAACACTTCAATGCCGCCACCGGATACGTTGCCATCACCTTCCCAAGTAACCATAACGGGATAGTTCTGAATATCAGTCACGCCAAATTCACGTACACGGACAGCGGGTGACATGATGGCGCACTGCAAAGCGGCACCACGAGACACCGACTCGTCCTGGTTCAATGTGGTACTAGCCGACTTGCCAAACACACTTTCAATCAATTGCTTAATGGCGGGAATACGTGAGCTACCGCCAACAATTTCTACTGAATGGATATCCTCGAGAGTGAGTTTGGAATCTGCCAATAGCTTTTTGAAAGTATTCTCCACACGTTGGAACAATGGAGCACACAATTCTTCCATTTCGGACCGCTGCATGCTGGACGAAACATCAATGTCATCCATGAAGCACTCGATGTTCAAGGGCAATTTGGTGCTGTTGGCCGACATTTGTTTCTTAAGTTTCTCAACTTCCGTAATGAGACGCAACCAGCAACGAGCATTTGTCTTGGCATTTATCTTGAAACGGTCCTGGAACTCCTTGGCAAAGTGTTCAGCCAAGGCATTGTTGAAGTCGCGACCTCCGATATAGTCCCAGGTGCTGGCCAGCATCTTTAGTTTGCCTTTTGTAAAGGCACATGCACTGACCTGCAGTGAGGCATGGCCGCAGTCCACAAAGATAACATTTCGAGGTTTATCCTCGGGCAAGTCCTGCTTGTAGAAACCATAGGACAGTGCTGTTGCGGTGGTCTCATTCATTAGGCGTAGAACATTGAGACCGGTAATTTGGGCAGCATCAAGTAAAGCCTTGCGTTCAGCGTTGGTGAAGTACACAGGGCAAGTAATAACGCAGTCATTAACCTAAGCAAAGAATCACGACTGAGTATTGCCAGATATTACAAAGAGAAGCTTCTAGAACTCACCTGTGTTCCCATGGCATGGGTAGAAGTTTCCTTCAACTTAGTAAACAACATGGCTGTCAACTGTTCGGGGGTGAACGTTTGCTCCTGATCCAAATAGTTGACATGGTAACCGATGCTACCATCGGGCAAGCTTGTAACTTTTGTTGGAATGCTGTTAAGTTCGCGTTGCACATGGGGATCGTTGAATTTACGACCCAGTAATTGTTTGAAGCCACTAACTGTGTTTTTCATATTTGTGACCTGCTGGTTTTTGGCAGCAACGCCGATGATACGTTTTTTGCCATCGAAAGCCACACATGATCTGCAATAAAACAAAAGAGAGTGTTAATTTTGATGGCTACAACTTAAACATGTTTAGTCGAAAATAAATCTAGAAACCAAAAACAAACAAATGACGTCATTCCTCCAGATTATAATGACTGCTGGTGGCTAAACACTCATTAAGCACTTCTCTAACAACTAATGTGGCCGGCCTTTGAGTCATAATCGAAGGCTGCACTATCTACGATGTGTTCTTATATAAATCGGATCGAACAAAAATTTGTTTGGACAAACCACTTTAGAAAGACCATGGAAAACATTAGCAGTGGGCTTTTTGTTAAAGGTGTTAATTGAAAGCCTTTTGGGGTATTACAATTTTTTTCTATTATGTCGCGTTTTTAGCGTTTCTAGAAATGAATGATTTTATTTCTCACAATTTTACCGGTTGGTGACTACACTTTTTTTGATGGCCAAACGGGGCAATGAGTGTGTGCGTATACATTTGTCAGTTTGGTTGTTTGTTTGTGTGCATGTATATGACTTTTTGGGATACCTACTTTTTGATTACCAAAATGACGCAGCCTTTGGCCAATCGAACAAAAATACACACCACCCACACACGGTATGGAAATGTTTTCAAATAAACAATCAAATGAAATGTATTGAGTGGAAATTAAATAAAATATCACCATCACCAAATGGTGCTGCCACTATGGCAGGGAGGGTCAACCAAATGCCAACATTCAATGTTGTTGTCATCGGACAAATGGTTTGTTATGATGACCTGTGTGTAAGATGGGCTGAATGTGGTGTAGCGTCCAATCATGCATAGTTATGACATCATTTGGACAAATATGCATTCCGAAATCTGTGATGCACATCTGAACGACATTTTGCCCATAAATGGCCAAGCAATTCAAAATCCAAACACAATGTATGTGGCAAGCTCTTATTAAAACGCACACATACACTCATTCACTGAAACATATTAAGCGGCATTGAAATGCCGGCTTACAATCATAGAAAACAGTGTGCGCGGTATACGCGACAGAATTCCACCATATGATCATAATGATGACATCTGAGGGTGGCTTTGCCAATGTTAAGCCCTAACAGCTGAGTGCCTTCAAGAGACAATAACGAAAAAAAAAAATCAATAACTACTTCCAGAAAAATACACATGTTTCTGGAATGTTTCCTAGCAATAATGCAAATGACGCCCATTTTGTGCAGAATTTTGCAATTTTTAATTTTTTGTTTATAGTTTGTTGCTAGCGCAAAGAACAAAAAACAATATTGACTGTATCACGTTTTTGCCATGATTTTCTCCTCTAATCTTTTGATAAATTTTCCATTGGTTAACATTTGATGAGAGTGAGAGAACACAAGCAGAACACACTATGAGAAAACACCGAAAAAACGAATGGGAGAATTGAAAAAAACTAACCTCACTTTTTGCCACTTGTAATGCTTAATCATTTTTTGTAATTATAAGTCAAAATTTGTTAATACTTACGGTGTTGCTCTCAAGCTGTAGTCATTGGCAAGAGTCTCAATACCGCCAGCCTTGGCGGCGGCGACATAGCACGACTCGCTACCAAAATCAATACCAATCACAGACATTTTTCTTCCTTGTCGGTGTGTGTTTTGTAAAGTAAAAAACTCTTGGGCAGCTCTGTGTATTTTCTACTTCAGACCACCAAAACAAACTTCCAGAATTTCTGCAATGCAAAAAGATGGACAAGAATTACATACACTTCTTCCCAATGTAACACATTTCACAATACTCTTTTTTTCCTTTCTTTTCACAAAACTAGAACAAACACGTCAGTCTCGTCGTCAATGGGTTATGGAAAATTAAATAATTAAAAATAAACAAAATCCAGAAAGTTCGTCGAAAACATAGGGCCAAACTAAACTATTCACAATTAAAATACAATTATATCACTGGTAATAAGGGCACATGGACACTTTTTATGCAAATCCAGCTGTCCTCCATTCATTGAATATTAAACATAAAAAAGTATGTATGTATGTACATACGTTTTTCTTTTTTAGATCTTTGCTCTTTCAACGATAGATAGTGTGGTGCGTTTTGTAAGTTGTTTTTAACTTTATCAGTAGCTCTTTCTTTTTCTTTCTTTTTGTCACAGCAGTTGTGGTTATAGTTTTGAATGACTTTGTTAATTTGCAAATTTCTTGTATTTTCTTGCTTGACTATTTAAACGTTTTCTTGGGAGTTTTTTTTCTCGGATAGGTTACCTTCTTAAAAAGCTAGTGTTTCTCAACGCGTTTTATTTTCAACTGTGATGGCTGGCTGAGTTTTCGTGCCTCTCTTCTCTCGTGAATCTTCTAGAAAGGTTTGACACTTCTTAGCAGTGTTGTATTCTCAAGTGTCACATCAAGCGTATGGCGTAACTGCTGCTTTACGTTAATCATTTTATTTACTTGATGTATGTTGTTGCCATTGAAATTATTTCAAAGATTAAAAAATAAATATTATTAATACCGAAAAAACAATATTTTGTAAATTATAACTATTGGTTTGAGTTTTTCATTTTAATATAATTAAAAAAGTGCACAATAAGAGTTACATTACTCTTATGCCATGTTCTGACAGACATTCATTTCATTTATTAAGCATAGTAACAAAGCCAAATAGGCCATTTAAGTTACACAAAACAACATAACATTCGAACAACGTAGTTCGTTTTCAGAATTATGCACATAAATTACCCGTTCATAAGGCACTATTCATAATTCATGTCATATATAAATTAGTTTTTAATGGCAAAAATTTTGAAATTTTCAAATGGAAAAAACAAAACAATTAATAATAAGTACATTCTTATAGGTTCTGGAACAGGCATAACATGTGGTAAAACTTTTTCAATTAAATATTCTTTCAAATAAGTAATGGCATTTGTCCAGCTGATGGCACATAACCTGCCAAAAATAGTTATTATATTTCAAAATAAAAAAGCAAAGTTAAATTAAATTCTGAAATTTGGTGCAATTTGATGAAAACAAACGTATAAACGAATTATATAGAACGACCTGGACCATGACTATATTTTATATTGATATATCTATATTGACTTAGATAATTGGTTTGCTTCGGGACCTCTAAGGTTCTACAATTTATTTATTTTTTTATTTTTCCTTTATAAATTTGACAAGTTTTGGAACCAAGAATATTTAGAGATGGTTCATAGCATGGTATAACTTTTACAAGCTAGGTCAAAGTAGTAATTACTCTGTTATGGATGAAACAAACATTTAATTGTATTCCCTCCTGATTTTTAGAAGAAATCATAACCTTTCATTCATTTTTCACGTTTTTAATTGCAATTGTAAATAAAATGTAATTTTGAGGAAAAATTGCAATCAGTTGGTAGCTATGCCCTACCTCGTACTAATACGATTTTTACTCGATTGTCGATTAAATGTATCGATTATGTTTTATCGATTTTTTGCCAGCCCTAATTGACTTACTACACGAGTTAAATTCTTGTAAAATTGTTCCTGACCAAAGAAAAGTCGTTCTTTTCATTGCATTTATTAAATTAAATAAATAATTACAAAATGTTTCGTATGCCACCACAAGTTGACCCCGCTGAGGAGAAGAAACGCGTCCAGGCTGATGTTAGAAATAACTTCATAATGTTTACTGTTTTATGCGCTGCCATTAGATTGGGTAAGACATCCTTAAATTAACGAATACATCGATGGACATTGACATTTTGTGTATCTTACAGCTCCCTTTTGCATTGGAAAAGTGATGAACCAAACCGCCTAGCACTTGGATAACATTACCTGGACACAAATAGCTTCTACTTTATACAGTAAAGCTGTTTCGTTACTATCGAAATAGTTTGAGTTGTTCTCGTTACCAAGAATATGCGTGCAAAATTCCAGTTTTTGTTATTATAAACATTGTAAATCAAAACAACTCTGTTACATAATATCTAATATAATAAAATCATGTTTATTAAGTTTGTTTCTAAATTCAATGTGTTGTTCTTTGTATGTTTGTATATATCCAGTTTTGTGTTTGCTAAAAAAAATGATATGAACACAACTTCTTTCCGTCAATTCTATCGAAGTATTCAGTACCTTTTTTAAAATTTACTAAAACTTCTGTTGAGATTTTACTCCCTCAATTACAAATAGTACTGCAAGATTCTACCTTTTTTAAAATTTACTAAAACTTCTGTTGAGATTTTACTCCCTCAATTACAAATAGTAATTAAATTCCCAGTAACATGACATACATTTTTTATTAGGCAATAGTAAAAACTCCAAATGTTTCAACCCATTGCTTGCCATAAAACATCTCTTAATTAACTCTCTTAGAGTTAATTAAGGTTAATTAGGGTTTCCTTTCTAATTCACCTCAACATATCCCAAATTAAATGAAATAGGCAATCGGCTATCAGCAATGATTTGGATCGTTACATATAATTGAAGTCCAGTAGGCCTATTCTTTAACTTTTTAACAACATTCGACATTGTTTATTTTACAACAATTTCATTTGTTTGTTGTAATATCGAATGTTGTTAAAATTTACAGAATAAGCCTACTGATGTATTAAATCCCGATTAAAAAACAAACATAGATTTTTCAGTTTTTATTTATTTATAAAAAATGTATATATTTTTTTTCTTATTTTTCATTTGGGTTTTACGTACTCTAAATGGCTTTCTTATACTTTACTATAAATTGTTATAAAGGTACATACATTGCAATATTGAATAAACATAATTATTAATAATGATAATAAACTCTACAATAGCTTATGATTCTTTTACAGAGAGAGGGGGGAAGAGTAGGAGGAAGAAAACATCGTATTGTTTGATAGAAAATTATTTAGCAATTGTAAAAATACAACATTTTATGAACATTCCGATAAAATCGAAATTCTTCTTAAGAATGTCTTATATAACATAACGTATTTTTTACAAGGCATTTTCAGCTATGCTTTATCTACCTTTGGCTTCAGAGCTTCCATCTGTAATAGTAGTATTTTCAACATAAATTCTCTTGGTTTCTATATACATACAACAAAAATACACAAAAATTCGTAAAAAAATAAATACAAAAAATAAAACGATTTGGTCTCAATCGACAATTATGCAGATAGGGAGTGGGTGAGTTCAAAAATATGCGAAGTGGTTCTTCATTCAATGTCTATGCACAGTTCATCGGAGCTCGTCATATGGTGGGCAGTGGATCCTGTCAGTGTTTCCTTCTGCGTAGAGATCAGTTTCAATTGAGCTGTGTGATGGTGATGTTGTGCGGGAGAATGAATGCTTGATGAAAATACGGATGAGTTGTTGCCGTCGTAATACTGATCCACTTCTGGATCACTGAAAACACATGTCTCCTCTCCAGAGTCGTTGTGAACGCCAGATAATAATGTATTTTCGGTTTGTGCATGGTAGAGTGACGCTGCTGGTAATAGGTCTGTGTTACTTGGCGGGATATTTTCACTTTCCGGAGAGTTCGATTGTTGATCAATGAAAAAGTCTGAAAATTACAAGAGAGTACCAACATTAATTTTCGGACACATTGCAACATTTGTAAACAAACAACATCCTTAACTGTAGTCTACAAAGAAATTAACAGCTAATTGTTGGCCAAGTTTTGCTCATAGTGTACCGAAATCAAACTTGACCCAAAAATATTGCTCTTAATGACGAATAAACAAGGTGTACAATGGACTTGATAAAGACATGCACAAAAATTCTATGGTATCCAAAAAGAAAAGAATGCAATTCATTTTTACCTTTCATTCGGAATTAAAACAGAATATAAAGGTCATATGAAAACGTAATCGATCAGCGTTCGAATATATATTTACACTCAAAGGATTTTGTCAGTTGATCACGATCACGTGGTTTGATTGTTTTCTTTTAATGTGTTGTTATTTATTTAATAAGGTGCAAAGATTTTGAATAGTATAGAGGAGTGGTAGTATAGTTTTTAATTTGGATGTATGGATGGTAGGTGGTGGGTGGGTGTCTTTTGCAATGCAAGGAGTTACAGTCAAAAAATATCTTCACGACAATCAGGAGGTGTGGGTATAATTTGTACTGTAATTGAAAATAAATTTTGAGTTTATATACATGATTTGTGTTTGGTTTTTGGTTATATATGTGTATATGAAGTGCTTTCTTTAGGTTGACATATATGAAAGTAGACAATATTTGGACTTAGTTTGGAATCTACAAAATTACCTGATTCAACGCCATTCCATTCACTGACAACGGTGTTATGATGGTGTTGATGTGGGTTTGGATGGTCTTCCACGGAACCCTCGTATTGTTTCATGTCGGCCAATTCAACATTTTCAGTCATATCGAAGATCTCCGTAACTTTAACTTTGTTTGTATTGTCATCGGTATAATAGTAGGCATACAATGCATCGTTGTGGGTAGTAACCTGGTGTTAATAGAAAACGTAATGGTATTAATATTCGTCCTAAAGACTATTTTTTGTATTTCCATTCTTACCTTTAAAACATGCTCATAATGATCAACATCATCTTCCAAAGGTGAAGCGCCACTAAAAAATTAATAAATAATTAATATATAATGACATATTATATTTTTATATTTTCGTTTTTAAATACATACCATTCGTCTACGAGTATTGATACTCTAGGGCCATATAAACGCTTCGAGTGTAACAAACCAGTCGTATCGAAATGGGGAGGATCACAGATCTGCAAAAAAAAAAAAATTAATAAATAACCATAAACAATGTCAAACATTGAAATTCTCCGACGTTTTAATACCGCCAATCTTACCGTTATTTTATTTAATAAACGCACATGTAAGGCATTGTTTAACTGATTTACAAAATCGTCAACGACCACGCGCATTTGCTTCGTTAATTTAGGCGTAATAGAACTAAGCCTGAAAAAAGAGAGTTAGGTTATGTGAAAAATTAGAAGGGAGAAATAAAGTTAGTCGTTAGGGAATTTGATATTATGGAGTTGAATCAAATTCTTTCAAATGTTTGCAAGCGAATCAAAGGAATAATCTTTTGGAGAAACATTTGCAAAATTTTAAATTTTGTTGCTTTTGGAATTGAAAGGAGAGAAATAGACGGACAGAATAGTGTGAGGTTCAAATCAAACAAATTTGATTAGATTTTAAATTTTTTATTGCATAATTTTGGAATTCATTATATTATAAAAATAAATTGTGCTTAAATAATACTTCAATATGTATGTTATATCAAAACTAATGAGACAGAAGAAGCTCCTGCTTCAGTTTGCTTAACTCTAAATCCTATTCATAAATTTTCTAATTACTTCATCTATAAATTCAGTTCTTTTTTATTTAATTAACAAATAATTTGTAATTCATGGTAATGTTTTGGGGTTTTACGCGCTTGCAAATGTTTTTCCAAAGGGCTTTGGTAGCGTTTTACAAGTTCTATAAGAAAAGAAATAAACAAACGGAATCAGGCAAAGGTAAAACTTTGGCCATTTACAAAAAACAAACAAACATTCTAGCTACAAACGTTTTGATGAATTATGACGTTTTTTTTTTTCAACTTACTTGGAAACTGTGGCAAACAAAAAGTCAATGGGTACAGTGGCGGGCAAGGATAATAATTTGATACCACGATGTTTAAACAGCCAATTGGCCAAACCTTTATTGGCCTGTTCTATATAATCCTGTATAACATCTAAGACAGTTTGAGGCATATTTGAGGAAAGTGCATCCTGAAATTACAGAAAAAGAAAACAAATTAGCTTTTATTTCATTTTGTTCTCTGTGAAGACTTACCTTTCTGTGTTTTTTGCATTCTCTACATTCGGGATCGAATTCTTGGGGCTGTGCCACCGTTTCAGATACTACAAATGTTGACTGCACGGCCACACAGCGGCGACAATTAATCAAATTGTTACGGTGCAGAAATTGTAGGGCATCATCGAATCCTTGCTGGCAAAATTTCGATAAGAACTCCGGCCTGGGAGGAAATAGAATTCTCACAAAACGATTGATGTTCTGGCGTGATATTTCGATGCTGGTATTGGCCCAATTCAAATGGAACAGCTGGGAACTCTGATCACGCGGGCATATATCACTTTCGCCACAGAATGGCGAGACGGTTATTGTGTTTTCATCCAAAATGGGTAGATTGTCGGAGAACGCACCATCCATATACCGTACACCCCTGAACTTGGGTGGCAGTATTCCCGAAAATCCCGGTATGAAACAGGCACACAACAACGCTTGTAGCACCTCATCGCGGGAATTGAACTCGGAGACAATGACATTTTTACCATCGTATACACGGGTCATGGAGATATGCAAACGGCCACTAACACGCTTGTGCGCATCTTCGGGCAAGTGTTTTTGTAAGCCCTCAAAGAGGCATGTTTGTATGTTGAACGATGGACTAAATGGTCCCAGGGAATGTCGGCGGGCTTCATTAACAACGCGGAAGAAATCAGAAGTCATGCTACCTGCAAAGTGCAAAGAGAGACATTAAGCGAATTAGTATGGACTAATTATCATTACACAAGAGTTTATGTTGTTGATTTCATAACGAAACCCCTTTACTATAATGTGAGCAAAGACATCAGATGATTTTCATATATATATTTTTTTTTTTTTGCTAATTACCTATTGTTATTGATGCTGAGGTTAGCGACATTTTTAGATGACGTCAATTTATTATTGTGTTTTTTTTTTTTTGTTAAATTCATTGTATTTGTTAATACTGTGAATTGAATAAATTTACAATTAAGAGATAAGTAGTACTGTTGGTGTGTACAAAAAATATTTAATGAGAATTTAATCTATAGAATCCCAAATACAATTTCTAACATATTTCAGTAGAAGGTTGCTAGTTGATGTACTATTTCAATATTGTGAACTTGAAATTGGAAAATGTTCTATAAATTTTAATTTACAATTGATGACTCTGAAGTATAGGGAAATATATTGCCTTGAAAAAAGTCATAATTTCCCAAAGAATGAAAAAGGTTCATGATTTACGATTTTAGGAGACAGAAGAAGCTCCTGCTTCAGTTTGCCTAACTCTAAATCCTATTCATAAATTTTCTAATTACTTCATCTATAAATTCAGTTCTTTTTTATTTAACAAATAATTTGTAATTCATGGTAATGTTTTGGGGTTTTACGCGCTTGCAAATGTTTTTCCAAAGGGCTTTGGTAGCATATTTCAGTAGAAGGTTGCTAGTTGATGTACTATTTCAATATTGTGAACTTGAAATTGGAAAATGTTCTATAAATTTTAATTTACAATTGATGACTCTGAAGTATAGGGAAATATATTGCCTTGAAAAAAGTCATAATTTCCCAAAGAATGAAAGAGGTTCATGATTTACGATTTTAAGTAATGATTGCAATTTTCAAAGGCATATCAAATATACTTAGTATTTTATACGTACATATTTATATTTATGACTTATTATTTATTACTGGGAAGTAAATATTCCTTTGATTAGGGGCTCTCAAAGTAGTTAAAAAGCTAAGAAAATTATCAAAATTGATAACAACAGATAATAATTTTCTAATAATTGTTGTTTACCGAATTCAGTGTTACAGAGCTTCCTAATTTAAATTTGCCTATTATTGTTTAACAAGTCTAATACTATTATTGTCGATCTACTAATATTGTAATTGTAAATATGAAATTGTTTACAAAAAATACATTGACATGTCTATAAACGCCGTGCACAAAAACTGTAAACAAATGCGGTGTTGTTTTTCAATGGAATTCACATAAACTTGTTGTTTATGACGGGGAGACAACACCGCATTTGTCAGTTTCTAATTTCTTGTCAACAAAAATATTTTTCTTTTCACGCCACAGCAATCGTCGTCAGTTGACTCTATTTTTACGTTAATTCCCCATTGAATAACACACCCATTTCCTATTTACATATGGTTTACATATTTATGGATCTAAAATGTTACATTTCTTAGATTGGGGAAGCGCCCGCCGTCTGTTAGTTTTGATATCAAACAACAACCGACCTTCAACTTTTTATTTTTCTTAAACAAATCACATCAAAAATTTGTATTTGTTGCTTTCAAAATAAAAATTATCAGAAAAGTATTTTTGGTTGGGCATTTCGTAATTTTTGTTTACAAAAAGAACGAATGGAAAACTACTAAAAATAGGGACGGGCGCAAAACCGAAATAAAAAAAAAATATTCAGGGGCGCCTACACACAATTATTGTCGGTTACAACAGACACATACAAGCAAACATACACATACGGTATTGCTTATATAAAAATGCGTAGAATAGTGACGAGCCTCCATAAAAATAGAGGCCAAACAACAACTTTGCTGTTTATTATCAGGGGGTATGTGGTTCCCTCTTAACTTTTCTTATACTGAAAACCACATTATACATACACATACACACATTTACACCAAACCACTGAGAGTGTGGCGTGATCAATTTACAAAAATATGTATGTAGAGATAACACACGCCCATCCCTGTTGTCAGTCAGTCAATGGCAAAAAAAAAAAACTAAATCCACTGTGTATGATCAAGGGAAACAGGTGATCTTGATAATGTGGTTACCACTGCTGGCAGAAAAACAAATGTCACGTGCTTTTCAAACTGTATATTAAATAACAACACATGTGCGGAGTATTTTGAAAACTCTCAAGGAATACTAGGGAAATTCTGAAACCGCAACATTACAGACTAACATCAATGTTAATTTATATGTATATGTGTAAATGTTTTTGTTATTTGTGTAAAATTACACAGGTTTATGTTGATTTTAGCGCTTACTAAAAACTAAAAAGCAATTGACAGCTGTCCTCCTAATCTTATTCCTCAATTAGTAGTTGTAGTATTTTGAAATTTGGCAAAAACTAAATTAGGATTCAAAGGGCTGGATGGCCTTGACAATCCCGAGAAGAATGTTTTATGTATATCACCAAAATAATAAAATATAATCTGCGATTCAAAAATTACCAAATCTTACGAAGTTTTCGGCTGTCAAAAACAAGTATTTCATGGTTCAAATGAATAAATTTTTCTATAAGGTACACCTTTTAAAAATTAGATTTTAATTTCCATATTCTTTCAAGGCCACCACAAACCATAAAATAATTTCAAACTCGTAAATGAATTCAACATTGCCAGGTAGAAAACCTTGTTATTTACAAGAAAAATAGGTTCATCATGTTATGCTGCTATTGTTGGTCATAGCCAGGCCAGCTGCATAAACACAGATACCAACAAACTCAACATACTATTTGGTAAGCCACCCCCTTTTTTCCCTTTACGCATTCCAAGGTAATTTCTCTGGTAATGTAGTTTTGTAAACATTCCGGAATTTTCCATAGCCCGGTATTTTGTGAATGTAGGTCGTCGTCTAGAAATGTTAAAAAAACGCATAGTCCTCTCACGGTCAACAACCTTCAGCAACAAACATAACACACCATTCTGCCGCTGCTGCTGCCGCTGATTTTCTTTTGTAATATGAGGCGCGACTGAGGAAGGAGAAAATACTCTCTTCTTTTGAGAGACACACCCCCTTTTGTAATGTTGGGTAAATAATGAAATACCGGTTTAATGGCTGATGATATGGCAACATGAAAATGGCCTGATGACTTCTGCATTCTTCACATTATTAAGGCCAACAGCAGCACTTTCCTCCCAAACCGAAACAACAAATACACAATATACCGTATACGCACAGGGAGAATGTTGCTTTTTGGTATGCAGCAAATGACACCATCGAACGACGGACATGGACGCATTTCATATGGAGTAATACTCACAATGTAATCGGCGGCGGTGGTAGACAGAGATATGCTGCTTACGCACCAAATAACAAGTCGTAACACCAGCCACTCTCACTGTTTATGAGTGGCGGTGGCGGCGGTGGAAGACAGCCGCACAACAATAACAACAACCAACAACCAGAAATAAAATCGTATGATTTTGTGTGTCTACCCATAATGGAAATAGTGGAGTTCCATGGGCCACTGTTACAATAACAACAAATAGGCAAACATTTACAAATTGTCGCTGACGTAGCAACTTGATGTGGCGTTTGCTATGTGTTATCAATGGAAATTCAACGAAAGAGGAGAGTGAGGAAACCAATGAAATGCATTTCTTTCCGGTATGTCAGATATCAGCTGGTTTTTATTCTTAGATAGTTTATTTTACGAACCATTCCACCTACTAGTTGTCTGCCTTGTTATAAACAAATCAGATTGATATGTTTATGTTTCCAAAAAAATGTTTTGCTATGTTCAAATGAAAGGAAAATCACCAAATGGGAGGAGAAATTAAAAAAAAATCAATAAATAGAAGTCATATTTCTCTATAAGAGAATTTAAATTTCAAATGAGTTTAGAGATTGTAGATTTATAGGATTTCGTGGATGTCAGTATTTACAATTGAGCCTAATCTAATTGATCAATGATAGTGGAAATTGATTGAAATTGTTTTAATTAAAAGCAAATGACTATCCATCAATTTCAACTTAAACATATACAATTCTGGAGCCACAGCGAAAAACAAATACAAAATATAGGCAACAATTTTTAAATTATATTTTTTAATCTAGAAGCATAACTTCAAACGTAAAGATAATAGATATATAAGGTTATAGTAATATGCCCTTCTTCATTTGAAATCTATTACTACCTGCACTGCATACATATTCTAAATAATCACATTACTTTTCAATTTTACAACAATTAAATTAACATCTAGTAAACTAGGAAACTGATAAGACCCAGATGGCAAACACGCGCGCTTCTATATACTACATAGGTGGGGGTAAGTAGTACGTAAGTAAATAACAAAATATATAAGTATGGGTTTTGCACAAAACAAAAAAAAAACTATTGTTCAGAATAGCAAGCACAGCCATTATCAGTACAAGGAAATTTGAATGAAAGTCAAAATTGACGTCATGTTCCAGAGGCTATCGGCTGTTCGATTAGCTACAACGATTCTAAAAAAGATTACTTAAATCCTCGTTCCTTACGAAAAACTTATGAATTGTTTGTAATGACAAATTAAAATTTTATGTTGTTGTTTTGTTGTTGTTCCATTTTTATTTATTAAAATCTTTATTATGACAAGGTTATTATATAAAAAAAACTAATAAAACATGCTCTTGATACATATTTATGTAGATTTTTTACAACAAAGGAATAAAAAACGAGGGTTGTTTAGCAAAGTCAGTTTGTTGGAAATAAAATTGAAGTCCTATTTTCCCAAAAGATGACGTAATCAACCATCATAAAAATCATAAAATTATATGTGAATAAGAGAATAGAAACACATGAGTCATCGCTTGAAAGAATAAAGTCTTCGGTTAGATTAGTTTTTATATGAGGTAATATATTTGTACAATATCAGATTTTTCTCAAAGAAAAATTCCACATAAGGTATTGTTTTATTTGTTTCAAAATATATGAGTGTATTTAAATTCTTAGAAAGGCAGGTAGAAAAAATCGTTTAGTTATTGGAAAAGGTCACCTGTAGAGAGTTCTTCAGATTTTACTTTTGGGTTACTTCTCGGGAAACCCACGAATAAATGAGTATTTCATTTTCGAAATTTGTTGTTGTTATTACCACTTTTACTGTCATTGTAAAAATAACATAATCTTCTTATATTATTCCTATCTTCTTATACTAACATTTAAGCTAATTGTTTTGTAATGTATGTCTCGCATGAGCTATAATCCATTTGTCTTAAATTATATATGAAACAATTTAGCTTTATGTACTAATCCACACAAATAAATATCACAGTCCAAAGAATTCGAATTTCCGATGTATGTCAACTTATGTATTATTCATGCGGAATATACTCAAATGAAAAACCAAAGACCTTTACATTTATAAACTTTTTTAATATTCGCTGCAAATTAATTTTATTAGTATCAATAAATTCTCGTTGGTAATTGCAAATTTCAAAATATGGCCTTTAATGAAGTGAAATGTTAATTCCTTTATTAGCTACTGCTGAAGCCTAACCAAAAACATTACAATAAATATTTCTTTCATTTATTACTCTTCCATAATAGAGAATATTGATTACAAACCAATCCATGTGGTGATAGTGGTTTACTTAAGTCAAGAATAATGATTAGAAAATAACGAAAAAATGCGTAAGCATAATAAAATGAAAGCACTATAGCTGGCTGACAATGATGGCGATGGTGTTGATGATGATGTATTGTTGGACATATGAGGTCTCGTGTTATCAATTATAACCTACTAATACCACTAGCGAAGCGTACTATCAATTTGAGGCAACAGATGTTAGAATATGAACTCATTATTATTTTTTTCTTTGCGAAAACAATCTCAAGATTTTACAAACGAAATACTTATAGCCCTCATATATCACAACAACAAGCAAACACAATGAATAGCAAAATGATTCAGACAAAATACGATTTCAATGAATGTTTCCAATACACCGAGAAAAATTGCATGAGCATTAGGATATTTATCGAAAATCCTATTGTAATTAGGCTGTCTGTCTAGACGATTGTTAGATATAGTTAAGGGGCACAATGCGGATGATTACCCTTCTTCTTCTACTCAATTACTCTCAGTGTACTAAATTATATTATTGGCATGATATGAGAATATTAATTTAAGAAGTGTGTCATTATTTTGCGTAAAATGAACTTTAGAACTACACCTGCAATAAAAGCTGCAACAACAAAAAAAACTTTTAAAATCCCAGACAACAAATACACACACGCATACGATTTTCTATATACAAAGATATTCTGACAATTGAAAAATGGCAGTAATTGCATTGTTTCAAACTTATCAATTTTTGAAATCGAATAATGGACAGCAGTGGCAGGGGTGGGTGTTAGTAGGGTGTAGAATATGCTTATCACACGCTTTCTTTGTGCTATTTGAATGGCTATAAATGATGATCTAGTTTTGTATATGTGTAAAAAACCAATTTTTCAGTGTAGTAGCGAATTGTGTTACTGACTTTGGTGTTTTCGATCGAGTGGGGTGACATTTTTATGAGCCAATTGTGTATTGGGGCAAAACCCGATATCATTAAATAAATTAATCAGACAAAATCAATTAACAACAGCAACAACAGAAGTTAAGTACAATTTTACAAACAGATTTCATAACTTTTTGCAAAATAAATAAAAACAACTTGTATTATTTAGACACCAACTGAAGGAGTCAACGTTGTTGTTAAATTGACTCTTTCATTGTGTTGTGGTGGTAATAAAAATAATAATTAATAAAATTGGAAAATATGACGCATGTACTTGTAAAACTGATGAAAACAAGAGCATAAAAAATATATAAACCTTTGCACTGTTGCAAGGCAAGACAATCAAAATTTAAAATTGACGATGAAAATATGTCATAAAATCTCAAAGAGATAACAAAATGCTGCAAGTAATATTTTAATCAAGTTGAATTAAAGGAAAATAGGAGACCAGCTGTTTGGTCAGTTTGTATATACTTTAATACCCAGACATTTGGAGGCATCCCAGCCGGACAAGACATACAATCCTATGAAATATCTACTAATAAACTAATTTTGAGGATAGTCTTTCGACTCGTTTCGGATTGTGGTCTTGTATCACACAATTCGAATTGAGCATTTAAACACAACACAATCCTGCATTTTTCGATCAGCACTTTGTCACTTCGGTATGATTGTTTTCCTACAACCACACTCCCTGTCCTCAATATACAGATGTTTACCGTTAAAGTAAACACAACGAGAACGTTGAAAAATGTTCATTGCAAAACGTGACCATGTTACGTATTAAGGAAATAAGCCAGTCACAACTAGGCGTCATGGTTACTTACTGTCTGTCTGGATATAAATGTTTGGGGGAAACGTGTGGATATTGCAAATGTGCATCAACAAATACAATGGCCACACACATCAACGCATACTTGCTTGGAATGAATATGAACACATATTGGACTGCTTTCATGAATTAAAAAAGAAGAATGAAGCTTTTCATATGAAAGCCGTAGAAAAATTATACAATATAAATAGTCTACTCGCATCACTGAATATTGGGGAAAATGAAGAAATTCTCACAGTTAAAATTGTAAAAAAAACTAAATAGATCTCTTGGAATTATTTATTAAAAATTAAATTGATATATTGGTGTTATTCAGCATTTCTTAGTCACAACGATGGTGATCTTCAATAAAAGCAAATACTATATACTTTGTTTACAATTATCAAGGCGTGAAATAAAGCCTATCTAGCAGCTTTAACCCCACACCATGATGCTGTTTATAATAAACTATAAATGAAATAAAAGTTCAATAAATTGCGTAGCATACATTAACAAGTGTACAACAATAATAATAATACTATCTTATATTTGTTATAAGGACTTTTCATAAACCTACATAATATTGATTAACGTGTACATATATACAATATGAATGAATCAGAAAAATTAAATAAGTATTTATGATACCACAATGACCACCGCAATACTTTTTTTTAGCGAGGAGTACTGTTTCGTTTCATGAGTTTTGGATTTGATTAAATATTTATTCTGTGTTGGTTACAAATAACCATTTGACCTAAATTTCGGAAAGCATACGAATATGTTTCCAACTTTCACTTTGACTATGGCTAATATATTTCCATATCATGGAATAAAAACTAATCTTCTCTTTGTTAATGTTATGAGAAAACAAAATACCCTTATTTTCCACATTTTCCAAATTCAGATCTTTTCAACGAATACATTGTGTCATTGTTAGCTTCTTACTAAAGATTTTGTAATTTCTAAAAATAGAATCTAAGAATTATTTGCCTATAGTTTACAAAGCTTTATTGTGGTCGCCACGCACAACTGCTATGAGTTGTGTCATGTCGTGGCGTTAAATTTCTATTGGAGCACATGACAGACAATAGAGACCCACAGTCAATGTGTTTTGCCTTTGTAGAATATGCCCAAGATAAATTCCTCCAGTATTCCCGCATTGCTTGAAAAATAGAGCGTGCCAGCCAGAACGATGTTTTTTAAAAAAAACTACTGCGTTTCAAAAAAATAAATACTGCTGATGTTGACGCTCGCTCGCAGTTGTTTGGTTGAACTGGGTGATGATAAGACTTTATGTAGAGGGTATAGTGTTGCCTGCTGTTGTTGTTGCCATTGGTGACGCTGACAAGCCCCCAAATTGTTATGTTTGTTTTGTTAATTATACACCAACTACGTTGCCATTCATGTTTTCGTTAGTAGAGCATTTGAATGAAATTTGCTGGTGACCCAAACAAATAAATGCATATATTTTTTTTTTTTTGAAATGGCTATCGGACAGTCTTATCAGGCCAATGATTATGATTTGCTTATAATCAGAAAAACAATAAATAAATTGATTATGAATCAATAGTACAATTTACCTTTTGTTCTTGGTAAAATTATAAATCAATTTTGATTTTTTTTAATCCCAACTACACACTAAAACCTAAAGGAAGGTATATAATTCTTTGAACCAAATTATAATTACTTCTTTTCCATTGAAGTCAGCTGTCAATTTAATGGTAATTAAAAATCTACATTGGTTGGCGATTTTTCCGAAATAACAATACCTAATTTCAGAATCATCGTATCATTATAACTGCCTGCTACGTTCCACTTGAAACAATTCAAATTTGAATCTAACTTAAAAAAAATATTCAAACAATTTGCTGATTAGACGAACAAATTTGAAATAATAAAAAAAGAACTTACATCATTCGTTAAAAATAAATACAATTTCCAAGCTACTGAGAGATGACATTAACCTAATGATTAAATATCAAACAAATGGGTCACTTACCTAAAGGCAAATCGCACAAAAGACAACAGGCCGCCAATGCACCGGCAGAGGCGCCAGCGATTTTTTCCAACAGCAAATGTGGGGCATACTTTTTGAAACACACGGCCACGCCAACATGATAGATACCCAAAAAACCGCAGCCAGCAAATGATAGATTCATAATACAAAGAAGTCCAATAAAAATTCGAAATCAATCAAAAAGAAAAATCCGTTGCTGCTGATTCCCAATCAACAAAAACAAGCCAAGATAATAATGCAGAATTATAAATGTTAATAATTTATTTATTTGCAGCAGCACACACTACTACAGGAGAGCGATGACGATGCTTTGGTCGCCTTTGTTTGTTTGGAATTATTGTGGTGGGCAAAAACAAAAATATGACCACCACAAATTAAACAATTGACACTGGCTGACGACGATGATGATGACAACGGCTCTGCAACGTGATGTTACTTGATTTTTTTGTTGGCGTTCACGAAAAAATAAACAAATGTTTTTTTCTTCTTTTCTCTTTTCAAAGCAAAGTTCAGCGGGCTAGCTTTTTGCTCGTTACTAGCTCAGTCTGTCCGTTTTGTAAAAAAACGCGAAATTATTTCGCGTTTTCCTTTGCCCAAAGTTCGTTGCTACTTTACTATAGCTGTATAATTTACGGGCCAAAACAAACTTGTTTTGCCTTTTTGTAATATTTCACTTTCGTTTTGTTGTCGTTGTTTTTATTCCAAATTCTTTTCTTAACTTTCAACTTGTAAAAGTCGCGTCAACACAAACGAATTTACAAAACAAATCTTGATTTGTTTTCTTTTTCTAGCAGAGAGGAAGTGAATTTTAAACACACAATTAACACTTTTTTTGCTTTGTACAACAGCTTTGATTTTTTTATTTGAATTTGTTTAGCAGCCGCCTCAGTTTGAACGAACTCACGCAGTCGATAGAATATTTGTTATGAATTTGTTGCTGGCATGCCAGCCTTATTTATAGACTATTTATGTCTCTCGCTTTCTCTCGCGACGTTCGTCTGCAAACAACGTATGAGATAAACACAATGAAAGTTGTCTGCAAAGCAGCGGGCAAGACAAAAAGCGGCAATTATCGTTCAAAAATAAATTGCGTTATATGATCTGATAAATTCCGGTAAGAAGATTTAAATGTTCTTCTTTTTGATAAGGATGAAATTTCCAGAAAATATATTCCAAGAAAATGTATTTCATTTATAAACAACAACGAAAACAAACGCAAAACGCCAGTCAACTTCATTGTATTCAATCTCAGAGAAGTTTCTCTCTCTCTTCCAGAGAGAAATAGAAGAATTTTGTTAAATTTCAGTGGTACCTACTGGAAAATTCGTTGAAGGTAACTGTCACTTAACGTTGACATTTGGGTGAATTAGTCATGACGTGGGCACGTAACGTGAACGTAACAGGATTAAAACCTTTGCTGAGTGGTGGAAATTTCCATTGAATGCGTGAAAATAATTTAAAATTAACATTAAATTGATCGTGTAAGTTCAAGACAAAGAGAAAATGAGCTAATCTAACAGTAAATATACACTGAAGTTGCGAGTTTGCGACATGTTGTACTTTATTTACTTTACAATTAACAAGTTATGCAAAAAGGGATTAGAACGTTAATATCAATTTTTTGGCGTTCTAACCTATTTTTTCACAATATTTTTTTTAGTGTTTTCTTACCATTGTTTTTTTTTCAGAATCTGATGCATATCGAAATGGTTTTCGATTTGCTCTTTACAAATCTGAAAGGATTTACCACTTTGAAGTTCGAGAAGGCCAAAAGCAAACGTTTATGCAGATTTCCTTACCACCAGCCAACTATGATGATGGCCTAGTATTAATTTATTACATGTAAGTACTTATTTAGTTTTTCCCATTTTGTGACAGTCAACATTAATAGGAATTAATGGAATATTAGGCACCAGGAAGACTGACATAATTGCTATAATTTACTACGTGGTTTAATTCTAAAAAAATTCCATTGGCAGAAATTTTGTTTTTGTGAAATAAATGCACCAAAATATACCTTGATACCTGCTTGTGGCTTTATGTCGGACCTATACGGGTGATAGTCATTGGTCAAATTGGGCTCGATTGGTTAGTAGCATCCCTGTCAATGAAAAAGCCATTTTAGTTGTGTTCGGTTCTTTTCCAACTAATTCTCTTTGGATAGTGTAGAAGTGGAGCAACAATTTCCATTAATATTCAGCAAATAAAACAGAAGATCTTCAGTGGATTTCCCATATCCTTAAATATTCTGAAAATCCCTATCAAATAAAAACATCAATTGTTTCAAGACAAAATTCTATTTATTTATAGATTTTTTTTGTTTATTTAAAACATTTACAAATTATTCAATATCATTTCCATATAATATTTTTGGTTGTTCTTCTTCTTGTTATTATTTGTTTTATCGTCTTAAAACTGTTGTAAACTTCTGATGATTTTCAATATGTATTTTCTTCTACGTAATAATTGTAAAAATCTATTCAATACTTTATACTGTTGTTCTGGTTGCTGTTGTTGTTATCATTATTATTAAAGAGAACCTTAAATGTTAAAATGCATTTTCTTTCATGCTTAATGCTGCTGCTGGTGCAGTGTCCGAGACATGCTGCTGAATCAGAAACGCATCTCATTTTAGACTGTAGAAATATGGCGGTGGATGTGGCTGATGATGCTGCTGCTGTTGAGTATTTGGATGATATTGATTGTGTGTGGGGTTTCCGGGTACCGAAGTAGGGTGGGCATGGCTATGGCTTGACATTAAATGTCAATTGTTGTTGTTGCCCCTTTTCGGGGGTGGAACGTACATTTGACGTTCGCCGCGATAACGTTGGTTACTGCCACCTCCCACACCACCATTACCAGCAGCACTGTTTGCTGCTAAAAATGTTGGAGGTAATTGTTGCATGGGAGCATGTACTGCTGTTGGCGGAGGTCCTCCCTGATAGGCATTCATAGGATAATGCGATTCATCCCGCAATGGTAAACAATCGGTCTTAACCACTTCTTCGTGGTTGCCATAACCCAGGAAAAGAACAACGCAAGTATTTTCCGATACACCCGTTATCTCGGCATTATAATACTGTAACCAAAAGAGAATACAAATGGAATGATATTGTGAATCACAGGATGCACTTTAATGTAATAAATACTCACATTACCATCCTCCCAATACTTGGCCATACATAAATCACCGACTCTCCAAGGCCAGGCACCGCCTTGAGGCATCATTCCGAACGGTTCCATTGGGCACTGCTGTTGTGGCGCCGCTACATAACCACTGTTGGGACTTGGAGTTATATAAGTCACTGCAGGTGCTGCTTGAGGGTTGGTTATAATCTGTGGTTGTGGTTGAGGGGGTTGTGGCACTTGGGTTGGCTGTGCTGTTCCTTGCGTTCCAGCAACTGGAGATTGCTGGGGCAACAAACCTTGACTCTTCAATAGATTCATGGCATACTCATTAGCTTCCTTGGTTTGAAAGCCCATTATTTTGCTTGGATCATATGCAAATCCATTGGGCAATTGCGACACATAGTTGGTCTGCTGTTGTTGTGACTGGGGTTGTTGTTGGGGATTCGTTGCTGGAACCACTTGCGGTGAAGAATTTGGAGTAGTCTTGTTGGTGAAATTTTGAGAACCAATAAATTGTCCACTCTGCTGAACTTGATTGCTGGCCGATTTTTGTTGTGAATTGTTTTGTGGGGCATTCGAGGATCGCGTGGATGCATTCTGATGTCTGCCTCCACGATTTTGCGAACTACTGTAAGTAGTTTCCTTTTTGTTTTGAATAGTCATTTTTGAAGTGCTCTCCACAAGTTTGTCTATATCGACATTGCTGGCTGGCTTGGCTTGTTGGTTCTGCTGGTAGTTGCTGGCGTTCTTATTTTCATTTGCATTGCGATTATTGTTGTCACGCTGCTGATAAGGCCGGCTGTCATTGGTTCTATACTCTTGACTACGTCTATTGCCCTGGTAATTGCCGCCTCCAGAGGCCGCCGATGGCCTCGTCGTTTGATCTCTTTGATCCTTGCGTGGCGGTGGTGGCCTTTCGTTGCGATCATTTCTTCTATTCAAATTTGTACGATAGTTGGTATTCGACGTTGTATTGTTGTTGTTACCGTTGCTGACATTGTTGTTGACATTATTTGTCGTTGGAGTAGCATTAACTTCATTGTTGTTGGCCGATTGGTTAATTGAAATTCTTTCGTTATTTTGGGCATTGTTACGACCACGTTCATTGCCACGGTTGCCTTGCTTATTAGGTGGGTTGGATTTGCGTTCATCTCTTTGATTATAACTTGATCTCTGTGATTGTTGGTTTTGAGATGGGATGGTCTTTTCCTCGGGCTTGGCTCTATTGGCAGCAAAACTTGAAGACATATTATTTTCAAACTTGTTTGCGGAGGTGTTCGGTTGCGGCTTCGTGTTGCTTTCACTGCTTTTACTTTTAGTGATCTCCTTAGTGTTTCGAGAACTGTTATTGGCGGTCTGAGCGGGTGGTGTTTCAGTGGTAACCGTCTAAAAAATATAATGAAGTTTTTTTTTTATATACCAATGAATTTAGTTAGGTGACATTACTTACCGCGGGTAATTTGTCTGTTAAAAAGTCGAATAGGGAAACATTAGTTTGTGGCTTAGATGCAGCAGCCACTTCTTCTTTGGCCGATCCCCGGCCGCGCTGATTACCAACTGGGGCTGTTGCTGTTTTAGTGGGATTTTCAGCTGTGCCCTTATTTCGCCTTTTAAGATTGTACAAAGCCCTTTCCAAATTGTTGTTTGTTGCCTTGAGGGCATATTTGGCATCTTCTTCGGAATAACCCTTCTCCAATATCTTCTTGACGTTGTGGTCAAGAATGTTCTGTTGGCCACCGCCGAAAACTTTCTTCTGGCCAGCCTTAGCTGCTTCTGCAATGGCCTGTGTACGCGACGCAGTGAACTCATCATTTTCTTTGGAGTTTTTATCCTTTTCTGTGGCGGCTTGTAAGCTTTTAAAGTTCTTATCTTGCGGTAGGGCGTCACGATGGGCATCCAAACGTTTTCCAAAGTCAATCCATGGTGGTGGACCACCAGACCCGGACAGTCGTCGATTACTACGGGCATATTTCTGCATTTGCCGGGCCAATTCCCATTTCTCTACCATGTGCTCGACATTGCCGCCCAGAATTTGCACCTCAGCTTCTTTCAACACTAAAAGTCCTTGCATTAATTGTAGCTTATCAGCCTTGAAATAGAGTTTGGTTCCTGGTGGTACTTTTAGATGAAGATTTGGAATGCGTTCCAACTCCAACGCTAGAATAGAGTTGGTGCCATCCGTCAATTCCAATTGTAAAAATCTAGGTGCCGCTGTCGACTCTTCATTAGCTTTTGGCGCCGATATGTTTCGCATTTTTTGCATTTGCAAAACAATACGTCCCGGAATGTTGCCATTGCTCTCCGGCTTACTGGGTATGGCACCGCCGCCAATCTCCTTAAGGTCCCACTAAGTAAAAGAATAAAATATTGATTTTTGCGCAACATATGTTCGCAGCCGAATGAATGCGTGATTCGAGTTTTGTCGTGGGCGTTGCACCCAAATTTCCTACTTACATCCAAGGCAGCTTTAATTATTTTTTGCACATCTTCCGTTTGTAATTCAGTGGTTAATTTTTTTAGGCCTTCTTGTGTCAAGTGCCTGGATAGAACGAAAAAAAGTGATTTAATGCTTTTGTGGGCGTCGATTTGTCACAATTCCAAAATACTTACCAGCCTTGATCTTTTAGTTTTTGCAATAATGCCATTTCTAATAACACTTTTTCTGGTAATATTCAATATTTCAATATTTTTCTTTTGCAAAAACTATGTGTGAGAAAAAAATTTGCTCACTAACATACTAACAAAATGATATTAAAGTCGATATTCGACTAGTCGGTGCAAATCGATATTCGAGAACGAAAACAATAATCGATTAAACGATTTGTTTTAATGGAAGAGTAAAGTCGTGTACCCAGCAATGGTTACGCGAAAATTCAAACCATTTTTTTGAATATTTTGCTGTGGATTGAGAAAAATTAGTACATTGGCATAATTCGGACACATTGAGAATAATACTTTTATTGTAAAACGTCATTGTTATCTCGATACGAATTGTCAATAATGAGAGCAATTCATAATAGGGTTCAATTGTGTGTGATAATAGCGTTCACTGTTTTGATTGACGTTTTCGTGTGCTTCCCATGCATAATTCGTATCTCTTAACAGTCAAATTGGTGAATGAGAACAAAAAACATTCTCTCAGAGAGCGAAAACACAGTAAATGTATGTGTCTTTGGTAAATGTCAACGCATTTCATTTGTGTCATGAATGTAGAGTAGTGTCGATAATGCGGTTATCTTGAAGGGTAGTACAGTGCAATTTATGTTGTATTCTATAACATAAATGATGATATTAAGAACATGTATTTATTAATTTGTTGTTGCTATAAAATATCGAAAGTTACACGTATTTCAAGTATTAAAGTTTATTTTCTATAATATTTCAATCTTCAGATTTGAACTGTGATATTAGGCGTTATAATATCTGTACTTTATCTTTATTGTTTTTTTTTGCGTTGGCAACAGTTGGCAACTCTAGCGAATGCATATGTTTTGTTTGTCGGTAAAGTTCAGTTTGTCGGCAAATAACAGTTTAGCTTGGTCGGTCTTTCAAACAAGACGGTTGTGCGCTTTCGCAAGGAAGACGGAAACGGTAAATTTTGTGTGCGCCTTGTGTGAGTAACGGTAAATGCATTTCATACGCGTGGAATGTGTTGAACAAGACACATTTAAGAGGAAAATTCAAGTGAAAAATGCATAACGAACGTCCGCTATTTATCGCTCAACGTTGAAAATTTAATTTTTTGACGGATTTGTTGTTTTGTTTATGCGATGTCTTTGTTTCTTTTTGCAATAAAAATTGCTATTTTTTGTGGGTTTCAAAAACAAACAAAAAAGAGAAAAAAATGTGTAGTGATGTTGCTGCGTATGTGTGAATGCGTGTTTGTATGGAATTTTGGTGCATTTTTATTGCTTGCTGTGTGTGTGTGTGTACTGATTTTTTGCGAATATCTTGGCAACAGGTGTTGTTGGTTTCAAACATAAATTCAATTCGAAGAAGTAATCAGATGTCTTTAAAAGATATATTTAGATACGAAATTAACTAGACATGTCTTTTAAATCAAGATAATATAGTAATAATTGCGGAAATGTGATTTATACATAAATATTAGTAGAACATTGTCTACTTCAGATCACGTCAGATGCTTTCTTCAAAATATTTAAATTAATGAATATTTAAATTAAAAATTTAAATATATTATTAATAAATAAACGTGGTTTATAGTATGTAAAATTATGTTATGAGGTTATAGAAGAACATTCAATATAACAAATATCTTGCAAATATATACACTATAATAATTGAAATGGGACAAAAACAAATTACTTCTGTAGCCTCTTTAATTGAAAATCAATTTTTTTGGCTAATCTACGTCAGCAAACAATATTTGAAATTGCAACCAAATATTAATTTCTAGACAAAATGAATTGCTACTTATGAACTATTTTTTTTCACAGCTATTTGTTTATAAACACTCGATGGGCACTAAATATACATATATATCTCCCCCGGAGCGATATGATTTATTTGGTGAATTTTCAAATCGATTAGAACTCTGCAGTCAACAAACCAATTAAACCATATGCTAATTTTGTCACGCACGTCAACAACAAAGAAAAAAAATCCCACAATATTACACAATTAATTTAGAGATATTCGCCAACAATCATGCACACAAATATTGAATATAAAATACAATAAAAAACAAAGCAAAGCTAATAAAAAATGGCCTAAATTTATACAGACAGCGACCGATTTAGAAAATAAAAAAAAATGATACGCAGCAATAAATCGACATATGTACATTGGAATATAAATATGTGCGTGTGGGGTTGTGTGAATGTGTTAAAGCAAGTGTGATTTTTTTTTAATAAAACTTTGAAATATTTAACATCTTTATTTTCCAAAAAAAAAAATTGTGTTTGGCGCAAAAAAGCAGAAAACTTTTAAAATAGTTTTTTAATCGTATCATTGTTAGAAAAATGATATGAATGTTGGCTATTTTTTGCATTGAAACGTGATTGAAATTATTAATAATTCGTTTTCTTTTTTTGGAATTCCGCGCATGCGTGTAGTTTTTTCAAGTCAATTGTAGTGATAGTTGGCCCCGGCGAGATTACGTTGCCAAGCATTCCCTCTTTGTAATATAAAAATAAAAAATGAAATAAAATTCAATAACGTGAACAGACAAAAATAACTATATTCAATTTTTCAAAAAGATAAAAGTTCTGAAAGAATATTTAATTATTGTTATTTAAAAAATGCGTGTTTCTACAAAAATGGCATTTGTCGGAGAATATAAAAGCAATTATTGTTTCATGCTGTTGTTGAGAATTTTTTGAAGGTAAGAAATCTATTGATATAATATTAGAATAATTATAAAATGGCAAAAATTATGGGGACTATACCTTATCATGGACCGATATTTATACTATTTAGTGAGAAAGATTTGCTAACCATTGAGAACCAATAATATATGATTCTAGAAAAACGTTTTTAAACCCTCCAAGTGTAGAAAATGGGCCGATGTTTTTTGATTTTATGTAGGAAGGATGTTTTCCTAGGGGAAAGAGTTTGAAAACTTGCCCGAAATTCCAAACTTGGACTAATATTTGTAATTTTTTGTAGGAAGATATTCTATTTAGTGATAATCCAAAATATAAGATTCAGACCATTTGGTTGAAAAACGTGCCCAAGAAAATGGAAAAATTTTAGCTAAGGTTTTCTACCCAGTGAAAATCCAAAATATCAAAACCTGTCGAAAAGACTTAAAATACAGAATAATGGGGGGTACTGTTTTATACCCTAAGAATCGATCGATATATCCCATTTCCAATAGCCATTTCAATAACATCACAGGAGTAGTAGTAATATATGTCAAAAAATGTCAATGCCCAATCTTAAATATTGCGGGCTCTATAATGTCTATGGTATTTATTTCGAGATGTTGAAAATATTGGATGGTATACTTATTAAATAATACTGAAAGGAAAACAATCCTCTGGTTTCCTATCGGAATGGTGGAATTTTATTTTTGACGGACTTCTTATTATATTAACAAATTCAATCGGATCGAAATCGATATATACAGCTCCAACCTTTGTTTAATTGACTGTTCTTGAATTTGTTATTAAATATGAACCTAATATTTCAAAACCATAAAAAATTACGTGATGCGTTTAACTGTTTTTGTTTCATATCTATGCCCAAAGGTCACAAGAAAAAAAGAAAACTGGCAAAATGTCTTAAAAATTTAATTACAATTTTAGCGGCATTTTTTATTTGCCTTTAACAAACATTTTTGGGAGGGGTTTTCAAGTACTCATTGGTATATTAACAAGTGATAAATATTAGTTAATCATAAAGTATAGTAATTAACATGAATAGTTGTGTCTGACAACAATCATGCACGTTGCAATGTCGGGAAACAACCTTTGGCGGCAAATTAAAAAAAATCATGATGATGACAATGTTTAAAAATTTAGTCATCATTGCGTAGAAGCGCTAAGTCGTCATCGTGCATAACTTCAGTGCATTCATACATCATACGCACACACGGGCACACCATACTAACCGAATGAACTCATTTATTTTGTACACATTTCACATATTAATGACGTTAAGAATGAGAAAACGAACGACAATAACAACAACAATAATACCAACAGCAACACACATTGCAAAACTTATGCAATTCCACCATGTTCATTGGCGAAGAAGAAGAAGAGGAAGAGCACCGATATCAAACATTAACAACAACTCGCAATGACAATGTGTCTCTCCGGTTTAAGCTCTCATTGTCTCTTTAGTACGCGTGTGTGTGAGGTTTTCATTCATGCATTCGCTTGCAATCATGATCAACAAATAACGGAAAAATTGTCATACCTTGCCAAAAAAAAGAGAACCAAATGCACACACATAAATATCTGAAGAAAAAAAAAAACAGCAACAAAAAAGAGTAATAAATTATAAATTTAATTGTTTAATTTTTCAACATTTAAGCTTTATTTAAATGACACATCATGTCCCATTGAGTTCGACGGTTTTGTTTTTTGCTGTTATTTGTTCGTTTGCCTGTCCGTCCGCCCGTCCGTCCCTGCCATTAATGTCAGTTTTAGTCTTTTAACTGTTCATAATTTATTTACGAGTTTAATCCGATAATCCCAATGTGGCCCATTATGTCGGTGTCTGGTTGTTTGTCAAGCTGCCGTCGGTGGTCGTTGTCTTGTTGACACTACGGCTCAGCTCTCGCTGTTGTTGCTGCTGATGTTTGGCGATGACTTGGCACGCTTTATTTTGCATTTCATATTTTTGCATTGCATTGTGCTTTTACATACTTGTTGAATGTGTGACGAGTAATGAATGGTGGGAGTGGGAGAGAAAGAGTAAAGGTAAGCCAAATAATAACAACCGAAACAGCCTTGCTATAGCAATGCTTATTTGTTGTTGCACAAATATGTTGTGTATTGGCATTTGTTGGTTGGTTTGTTTTTTTATTCTTTTTTGACTTGTCATGAGTTAATTTAGGCATATGGAATTTACAATTTGTCCATACAAATTGTTTTATGTCGGCTTCGGTTACAACATACATATGTTAAACAGAGGTGTGTTTTTGTCATGAACAAATATATAAGCCAATCAAGAGTTATGACTAGA